TTAAATAAAATGAGCATAAACTACATGTTTTATTAGGTCAAGTGGTACAGACTATTTACACATAATTTATTTTATGTATCTCACCATCCCAATCATTCAATAAGAGAGATCTAATTAAACCATTAAAAAAGAGAGATGACAGAGGGCAGGAAAGTTAACTCAGCAATTAGGAGCATGTGCTGCTCTTGCAGAGGGCCTGAGTTCAATACCAGCACCTATATGTTAGTTCATAACTGCCTGTAACTCTAGTTCTGGGGGAGTCAAGTCCTCATCTGGATTCTGAGGCATACACACACACACACACACACACACACACACACACACACAAATTAAACGTCACATCTCAGTAAATAAACTTAAAAGATAAAAAGTAGCCAAAATAATATTAAGCATAATATCAACATTATATTGAGCACAATTATAACACCAAAATTGAACACAGATATTTCAATTATGTGGGAGCATCTTTTCAATTCACACACACACACACAAAGAAGTCGAACCATTGGCCTTCATCTGAAAATTCACTCGAGAGGATAATATATTTCTTTCAAAACCAGAGATGCACCAATCTCTGAATGTACATTACAAAAATACAGTACTAAAGTAATTTCTGAACATGAAGTCATGCTGATACAGCCAGAAAAGATCTTCACAATAATACCTCCTCCCCAAGGTCAATGCAACTGGTACTGATCCCCAGTGCAAAGATGTTCTTGGGAGCTTAACCCTGCAATAAGTTCCTATCTGCTCTATACCTGTGGCTAAGACTTGGATTGTCCCTGAGAAAAGGTATTCCCTCTTGTTCACATACACAGAGTAAAAGCCAAGGGCAAATTAAATTTCACTTACTGTAACCTGTTAAATTGCACTTGTTGTAAAACTGAAAATCAATAGAGCCTGTTCAACACTCATTCTCGAAAGAAATGGGACAGCATAACTGCTTAAAAGAAGACAGCAAACTGAGAATGGCCACAGAGAAAGTCAAACACCAGAAAATGCCAACTTCGGGGCCCTCTCTACTCTCCTGTCCTCCCCCAACCAGGAAGCCTCATTCTTACTTCAAAACAGAATATACTTCCTCTTTCATTGAAAATAGAACGTTTCCCCATACAATATACTCTGATTACAGTTTCTCCTCCCAGTTCCTCCACACCTCTCCTCCCATCCGGATCCACAGCCTTTCCATCTCTCATCAGAAAAGAGTCATCTAAGGAACAGTAATAAAATACAATCAAACAAATCAGAGACAAACAAATGAGAATAATATAAAACCAAACAAGAAAAAGAACCGAAGGAAAAGCCCAAGAAACATATACAGATAAAAAGACACACATTTGCATGCACAGGAATCTCATTGAAAAACACAAAATTGGAAGCCATAATATGTATGCTAAAGACCTAAAGCAGAATATTTTTATCCACAAGTCTGCTTTGATATGGGGAGCCGGCATCTCTTTCTAGCAACCCAAATCATTGAGTTGCCTCCTTCAGTTTGCCCTTTAAACTTCAGCTCTAGTCTAAATATAGCAAATACTTACTGGGAACCAATTATGCACAACATAAGCAATGTGGATTTTTAAGCTGCTAATGTTAAAATAAATGCCTTAGGGGGTCTCAGAATTTTAAGTTAACGAGGAGTGGGAATAAAAGTTTCTGCTTTTCTGCATAATATCCGATTCGGTCTTTTAAAATCCGGTGTTTTATTTTTAGCTGTGAGGATGTGTGCATGTGTGTGCGTGCGCATGTGTCTATGTGTGGGTGTGCACACACCAGTGCAGGTGTCATTGCAGATCCTCCGAATCTGGAGTCCCAGGTACTTGTGAGCTCCCCGATGTGGTAGCTGTGAACTGAACTTGGGTCTCCTGCAAGAGCAGAAGGTGTTCTTGATTGTTGAGCCACAGCTCTGGTGTATCTTTGTCCCCTTGCTCTGCACCATCCTAAACTTCGTCAGAGATACAGAACCATCACATTTTAAGCCCAATTTTCTCTCCTCCCTATGTCTTATATAACCACTGTTCCACACATTATTATAACTGGGATTCTGGGTTTTATTTCCCTCTTTTGCTGTTACAGGATTTCCCTTAAGCATCACTCTGCTGATGTTTGGCTCTTCTGAGACAGAAGTCGTAGAAGAGAAAACCGACATCTGTACAAACCCACATTTTCTTGGTCAGCCACTGTAGTTGTGTATCTGCACAATTTCCAGCATTCCTTTCGTTTACATGAACGGGGATATGAGGCTCAGCCAAGCTTAAAATTTAACCCATGATCAAGCCTTCAGTTTGTTCTGGTTGGGTTTCTATTGCTATGATAAAATGCCATGACCAAAAGAAACTCAGGGATAAAATGGTTTATTTCATCTTACAACTTAGTCCATCAGGAAGCTAAGGCAGGACAGGAACTCAAGTACAGGCTGCTCCTCATGTCTTGCTCAGTTTGCTTTTCTATACAACTCAGAACCACCTGCCCAGAGATAGCACTGTCCACAGTGGGCCGGGCTCTCATGCTCAATCATAAATCATGAAAATGCCCCACAGACTTGCCTACAGGGTAGTCTGATGGAGGCATTGTCTCAGTTGACCGCTTCCTGTTATCCCACCCCTTAAAGTCCATTCTCACAAATATTCTCCAGACTTCTACTTGAATACATTAGCAAACTCTACGTTCTTTAGTGGCATTAGCTTACCTTCTCATGGACCACATTTACATTCTCACCTCTAGGGTCTGCTTAACCTAGCCATCAAGTTATGGGTCTAGAGGCAACGATAGGTGGCTCCTGGGGGACACCAGCACTGTTCTTTCTGACATCTCCTTTAGATAAAGTCATCACCTGCTCTGCAAAGGAGGTGGGATCGACTTCCCTGGGCAAGGACAGAGAGGGAAACAGTGAAGGGGATGGGAGAAGGGTGGGGATGCATCCTCTGCTAAGGGTTGGGAGGATTTCCTCAGGCAGAGTGGGCCCACCAGAATCTGTGAAGTCAACATCCTCTGCCTCCTCAGGATCTCCTCACACACTGTCATCCCAAGGCACAGGATTCCACCTCCAGGCAGGGCCTCACTTTAACTGTTGATACATTTTGAGGTCGGGGAAATTGTTTCACATTGTAAGTCAGCTAATAATATAATGAGGGCTTGTGTTTGGTTCTGCTAAGGCTTCTGGAGAAAAGATTCACTTCCAGGGCACATTTAGAAACTTTGAGATTTGCATCTGGAGCCGGTCAATTTTATCACTCAGCTTGTTTTGTTTGTTTCTTTTCCTTTCTAACTTTGCCCAAAGAAGTTAAAGGAAATCAGCCAGCAGCATCATTTTCCTTATTTTTTCCACAAAAGCTTATAGATGTTTTACACAGCCACTAAATTCTTTGCAGCTCACGGAGGTGAATTGAAAACATCAAATGCATGTGTTTTGCTAAGAAATGGTTCACATCACAGACTGTTAGTGTCCTCTATGCTACCAGAAGAGCTTTACAGGTTTCATCTAGCTGGAGAGCTACCTCCAGTTACGACCAGGACCACTAGAGAAACTCATGCCTACATTTCTGCTCCTCCAGAACCACTCCTGAAACTACAGTTTGTATCAGTCAGGGTTGTCTAAAGGGACAGAACCAATGGGATGAGACACTGTGTGTGTGTGTGTGTGTGTGTGTGTGTGTGTGTGTGTGTGTGTGTGTATGTGTGTACATATTAAGTCAGCTAACATTAAAATAGTAAAAACAGCCGAATTACAGCTGAGGGGCTGAGAATTCATTAGTCTCTCTATCTTTGGGTGACTCAGTGGTCAGAGTAATCTACAGTTGACTATCACTAGTTGATGCTCAGGCCCCAAGGCTGGGTGTCTCAGCAGTCCCCACCTCCTGCCAAAACTCTGAAAAATACCTGGAGAGCTGCTGGTCCTTAGTGCCTGGTGGAAAACTGGTTCTGATGTAGAAGGATCCAACCACAGCAGCAACAGGTCAGCAAGAGGAAGGTGAAGACACCAAGGTATGAACTATCTTCCTTTTCTGCCAGGACTTTAAAATCTGCACTGCTACCAGAAGGTGGCACCCACAAACAGAGTGAGTCTTCCAAATTATTTAAGGCAAACAGGACAATCTCTGCATTGTAACTTATGGCAGGTTGCCATTACAACCAACCATAATATAAAGCAGCTCAAAGTCCAGCAGATCTGGCTCAGAATCTAGCACTTATTTTTTAATGATAACAGAGGATCTCGGACGGGATGTAGTTTCCTCCCCAGGCAACGTTTGGCAATACCTAGCAAGAATTTTTGGTTGTTAGGAGTTTGATTGCAACGAGTGGGTTGTTGTTTGTGTTCTAGTGGGTAGAGCCCAGGAATGCTGCTGAGATCACACAACAAAGACTTACACATTCTGCCTAAAATATTCAAGAACGGCTTGCTGAGAAAGCCAGTGTGACAGATGCTTTCTTCACTCCTTCCACCCGACTCTGAACTTACTTCCAAAGATTTACAATTAACTATTGCAAAAACAACTTGCAGAGAGCCGCGAATAAACGGTCCTTTTCCTCACAGACTTTTCCCATTCAAAATGAAACGGGATTTGTAGCTTTGAGACAAAGGGACAGTGAGAGCAGGAGGTGAGGGACACAGTATGCAGAACGGAAATCCAAACTAATGCTTAGAAACTAATGCTTGGGCTGCTGGAAACGACTCCCTGGTCAAGAGCGCTTGTTCTGGAAGTTTGAGCGCCTGAGTTCGAATCCCCGCACCCAAGTAAAAAACGGGCATGGTGACAGAAACAGATGTGACTCGCCTTCCTGACAGCAGTTCACTCTGGGTGGCTGGCAGAGCCACGGATTGGCACCAGGACCCATTCTCCAGCCCGCCGCCTTCCCGCTGCGCCCTGGAGCGCCTAGGCCAGCGGGCGGGGCGGGGCCTGGGAGTGCGCGTCCCTGTGATGTGACGTCATAACCCGCCGCCGCGGAGCCGGCCCTTAGCAACCAGTGTGTCGACGGTCTCTGTGTCGCTGCCGCCCCCGCGGCTTAGTCTTTCCTAAGCTCCACTGCGGGGGCCGGCTGAGACAGAGCAAGAACCGAAGGGGCACCGAGCGTCCCCTCGAAGGCTGCAGGAGCACTAAGCATGGATGGCAGCCGGAGAGGTAAGGGGCTGCGCGGGTCCAGGCGGCGCCCTGGCCTTTAGCGTGGCCTGCCAGCTGCTTCTCCAGGATCGCGGGGGTGATGACCAGAGCTGGACAGGCCCGGGGCCCAGGGGGGAGGCCCCGCTTGCCCGTCCCATTCATTAATGTACTGCCTGGCCTTGAGTTTGTCGTCCTGACATCCAACCCCCGACCTCGGGATCCTGTATCACCTCGGTATCCACTAGGCAGAAGACCAACCTGGTCTTTGAGGTCCTACCTGAGCCCCAGATCAGGCCGGCCTCTTTCACAGAAACGACCCTCAGTTTCCTCATCTTGAACATAGAGGAAGATACCCATGCAGTGGAGTGCATGCAGATAACTATGTAGCAAAACTCCTGGCGCATTCTAAGTACTTAGTGTACACGAAGTCTCCCAGTCCCTCCCTCCCAGAGCTGGTTATTATAGTTCAGTTGATCCAAGGTGGGGAGCTGGGATACCTCATTTGTAATAAACTTCCAATGTGGCTGGTTAGTGGACTGAATGTTTAATACCTCAAGACTGCCCATAATCATAGTACACACCTATTTGCCTTGATTGATATTCTGAGACAAGTGGAAAGTGTGAAGTATTTGGTGACCCCCCCACCCACCCACCTATAAGTCTTCACGAATCACCCCAAATGAAGTTGAAGCTCCACAGCCTAAGCAAGTATTCTTTATTAGGATTTTAAAAGTAACTTTGAATGGATCTGCTAGTGGTTTCTTGAATTAAGTCTTGCGTTCAACTTTCGTGAACCTTTATTTTACTATAATTGATCAAAATAAGTGTTATGCTTAGTGTAGAAGGTCAGTTGACAGGCTATTCAGACACTTTACCAACCTGCATTGTAGAAAAAGCAAACCAAAATGCTCGTATGATCTTCAGAAATGGTTATAAAACAAGCTTTAATTTTTTGCTGTGTTCCACCCATAACCAAACACCTGCTTAGTACACATACACAAGTCTTTTTAAGTAGGTCTTATTCATATTTTGAAATAAATAGAAGAAAAGATTATAATTAACTTCCCCCACCCCAGTGTCACAGTAGGTAACAGAACAAGCTTTGAACCCAGACTAAGAACGTAAAAACCCTTAAGTTAATTATTTTACTTGCATAGCATGGGTAGGGGCATTTGTAGAGTAATAGATTTAGTAAGTCTGAGGTATTTTTTAAATGAGTTGAAAAATGTACAAGGGTTTATATTTTATACCTTACCCAAGTGGCTTTACTTTTAGCCCACAATGAATATTAATATCATTGTTTCTAGTTTTGAACTTGTAAAATAAATGTTATGTTCAATAAATACCTGGGCTAGTTTTCATATAGGTTAAATTATAAGTAACTATAATTGTCATTAATTATAAATTATTTATAAGTAACCATTAGTTTAGCTAAAGCTTAAATGCTTGATTTTAATTAAAAGTAAATGTCTTAGATTTCATTAGTTCCTTCAGCTATTTCAGAACATAAAATACTAACGATACCTGAGGGGCAAAGTTCCTCACTTGCTTACAGCAGTCACCTTCTTTTGTAGGGTCAACCATCAGAGTGGTGATGAAGCAGAAAGCACCAGCTTGAAAAACAATAGGTCTTGTTTGTTTCTAGTCTTTGATATTAACTAATAAAGCATTCTTCTGCCAGTCACTTTACTTTCCCAAGCCTTAGTTTTTTGTTTTTTGTTTGTAAAATGGGAGTTAGACTTAATAATCTATACAGCTTTGATTCCAACATCTGATGGGAGGAAGGAGAAAGAAAATTAAGAGTAAATAGTCCACCATCCATGTATTATCAGCAACCTGTGCTGGAAAAAAAAAAAAAAAAAAAAAAAAAAAAAAAACAAGAGGAGACAACCTATTAGGATGTTCACTGAAAATAGACTGGAAAAGATTTCTTAATCTGTTGCTCCCATGGAGATGTATTTATAAGCGACCGATTCCTAAATTTCCAACAATTTTGGTAAGATACTGAAACACCATTTTGTTTTTTTCCTCAGTGAGTTTTCTGCCATTTGTTAGTAAAATCAAATTTTATAGGAAACGGAGCTGAAGAATTTGACCGTCCTACAAGACCATCAAGCTCATGCTCCAATTTTTAGTCTTAGTTTAGAGAATGCTGTTTTTGTTCTGGGAATTTGGTTTGAGACAACTTTTGGATCATTCTGGGTCCCATCAGGATATGGAAACTACCTAGGGTGGTTTAAAGGGGGAGTATAAAGAGTTATTAAGCACGCTACAGTATTACCTAACATTTGCATTGGGCAAAAAAAAAAAAAAAAAAAAAAAGTCATCAAAAATTATACCCCAATTGGGGGGTGGGGTGGGCAGTGCCTAAGAGAGGGCCCAGATGAAATGAGTCATCTTTTCCTTTCTTCAGCTCTGGAAGTTTTAACATGACATCTGTTAGGAATGTTAGAAACCAATGAATGTACATCCTAATATAAATAAATGAGGAAGAAATTAACCCTGGTTTGATCCTCTGCACCACTGCCCCAATAAAAGCTCCCCGAGGGATACAGTATTCAGTATTCATGTTCTGCACACTAGTTACATTAACACTGAAAGTATGCTTTTTTTTTTTTCAAGTTTTTTTTTTTTTTCAAGATTTACTTATGTATACAGTGTTCTTTCTGCATGTATGCCTACTTGCCAAAAGAGGGCACCAGATCACATTCTAGGTGGTTGTGAGCCACCATGTGGTTGCTGGGAATTGAACTCATGCCTCTGGCTTCCCAGGACACTGGCACACATGCTGCAAGTGTGCACATACACACGTTTTTATTCCCCACAGGCATGACTAGGCTAATGTGATCTAGGCACTCCCTCGTTGAGACTTTTCACAGGTAATTCTAGGCTGTGTCAGGTTGACAGTTGAAACTATCAGTGAAAGAACTTTTGAAGTTCATTGATTCAGCTAGGGTATTGTGTCAGAGTGTCAAGGAGCTGGCTACCTGTGCCCACACCTAGCCGCTCCAAGGCTGGAGTTAAAAGCATATCCTGCCATGCCTGGCTTTTTCACAGATCCCAAAGTCAGCACTTTGGTACTTCTGTCACAGCTACTTTATCAACTGAGCCCTGTTTTATTTTCCCAAAAGGAAAGCTTCAATATATGGTCATTGGATTTTTGCTGTTTAATAGATTGTTGCTGGTAGTAATGGGACTTGTGGTTTCTTTTTGTTTTGTTTCGTTTTCTTTTTGAGACATGGTCTCATTATGTAGCCCTGGCTGGATTCAAACTCTGTATAGACCCAGCGGTCCTAGAGTCTATAGAGATTTGCCTGCCTCTGCCTCCCAGCTGCTGGGATTAAAGGCCTGTGCCACCATGCCTAGGTGAATAAAAGTTTTAACAACTTTGTTTTAAATTGAAATGTGCTATTTTTTAAAAATATTCTATATTGGTTTTTTGTGTGTGTGTATGTGAAAGTTTTGTTTCACGTGTCCTAATTCGTGGTTTTTATTGTTGTTGAAAGTCAGAGCAACCTCTGTCCTCCCCAGATACAGTCCACCATGCCTATTTACAGGACACTTGAGCACCAAGAGCAATGGTAAGTGAGCTACTTAAAACTGGGGCTTCATTGAAAGACTCGGTTTTCTGTGATGGGAAATCACATGGCCTGATGAAACAGTTCTCGTAATGGACATTTGTGCTTCACATTAGTAGCTAGAATTAAATGTTGTAGGCATTCTTTAGACACATTTAGGGGATTATGATTTCAAACTCTTAACAGTGCCCTGAACGTGTACGTAGCTGCCTCCTGCTTCCATCCCTGCTACGGCCAGGGGCTGCTTTCGACAGCACAAGGTCTGATTTAACACATGCCTGTCTTGTAAATGATTACCAAGCGATAGACACGAGCTTTAAAGAAGAGCTGGGTAAAGAAAACTTGCACATTATCTCAGCTAATGTTTATAGGTTGCTGAGTCCCTATGTCCTGTGATGCTTTTACATTTTAAAGTCTTCAGAGTAAAATTGTCATGACAACTCTAATATTTGTAATTATAACTTGAAAGTCTTTGGCATGGGTTTTAGGAAAACCAGTTTAAACCTACTGCCCTTATTTCCACTCTTTCATACTGTCCCCTCTACATATGACGAAATGATGAAATGTTCAATTATTTCATTTTGTTTCTTTGTACCACGATGTATACATAGAAAGAGCTATGAAAACTTATTTTTAAGAAGCAAAAAAAAAAAAAAAAAGGAAGAAAGAAAGAAAGAAAGAAAAAAACTTTGAAGCAATGTCGGTGGCACAAGCTTGTAATACCAATATCTGGAAGGCTGAGGTGGGGGTAGCAAGTTTATGGCTTGCCTGGGCTGCAGAGTGAGATCAGGGCCATTGTGGGAACTTAATGAGACCCTTCCTCAAACTAAAAAGTGAAAAAGTGCTGGGGATGTAGCTCAGTCAGGGGTAGAGTGTTTGGGTAGTATGTGTGAGACCCTGGATTCAATCTTTAGGAAAACGCACATGCACACTTAGAAACCGGGTTTAAAAGAAACATTCACAGAAGAGCAGAATAAACGTTTGCTAACGTTAAGAATGTACTTGCAGAGCTAGTGCAGGCAGAAAGCTGTCAGCGTGCAGCTGCATTGACTCTTACCTCAGCACTGCGTCCTTTGTCAGTAATATGACACAGGCTTGTTTACTTCACAGTTCTGTGCCTCAGTTTCCACTTTTAAAATGGTCATAATCATAACTAGAAAAGTTTCTATTGGTAAGAGAGAGTGGAAAAATGCATGGCAGGTGCCTCCAGCAATGTCTTCCATAGTAACATGCTTATATTATGCAGAGTTTCTCGAGAAGGATTGATTTTGAATTACTAAAGGATAGATCTAGGAGGGGAATCAAAGTTCCAATGCAGAAAAGTCCCTTGTTTTTCAAGCTCTATATCCTACTTCACTGTTGATTTTTTTTTTTTTTTTTTTTTTAACATATGTGAGTAAGACTTCTCAAAATCTTTTCTGGGTCTGGGGAGATATCTCAGCGGACAAATGAATAAAGCACTCACTGTGAAAATTTGAGAGACCCCCCCAAAGCCCATATAAATGTATGATGGGAGTGGCAGTGTGCCTGTCTGGGGAGATAAGAGGTAGGATGCCCAGAGCAGCTGGTTAGTTAGACTAGCCATATGAGCCAGTCTGTCTTCAAATAAAAGATCCTATCTCCATGAATGAGATGGAGAGTGGTCAAGGAAGATTCCTGACATCTACACACACCACACACACTCTCACCCTTGCACACATACATACATGTACCCACACATGTTTGGGCACGCATATATATCACACACATACACATGCAGAAAAAGTGTTTTTAATGATTAAAAATATGTCTGCATAGTACTTGATAATTCTAATTTGTGCTTCATGCTTCTGAGAGTTCCTTTAAACAATCTGAGTGAAGCTGAACAGCATAGATTTTATGCGCCTGTACCTACAGCAGACTGGCTCTTGATTCCAGATCTAAAGTCAGAGATTCGACTCTCAGAGCAGAATCTTTGCAGAGGGGTTTGATTTGTTTGCTTTCCCAAATTCAGTGGTTTGTTCTTAGTCAAGCAAGTGACTAAAGATTTTTATTTATGAAATAAAAAGATACAAAATTGATAGTAATCAATTGTATTAATTATAGCTTAAAATTATCTATTAATAAATTATATTCCAAGTTATTTTAATAGATTATATTTTAGACTCTCTTTTCCAAATTGTCAAGGTTGTAAAACTTAATTCGTGAGGAAGTTTGAACCCAAGTGATGGATGGGTTGCTAATCAGTGTTAGCAGGGCAAGGCGAGGGCTGGCTACAGCGCCAGGCACGTGTGCACTCAGCCTCTTCCGATGAACTCCAGAACATGACTAAGAATGACTTGAGTAACTTGTGGATCTTGGGGTGTTGTATTAAGTGTAAATGTGTAATGATTAAATATGTTTTAATTTTTAGCTTTTTGCACTGACTCCTCTTCTCTCAGACTAACCACTCTCCAGCTGGTCAAGAATCACATGGCTGTTCACTATAATAAAATCCTTTCAGCCAAAGGTAAAAATGTGCAAATTTGAATTCTCTGTGCCAATTTACACCCCAGCTTTACTTCTCACTATGGCAAACCTGTGGCAAAAGTTAATACAGTAGCTCAAAGACGACTTGTGCTTAAAGTGAGATGCCAACTACTGATTATATCTATGGCAAGTTTTATGTTAGCAGTATTTGTATCCGTATAACGCCTAGGCAGCTCATTTAATTCATTTATTCTAATATTATTTTATTGTTAGGTAGTGCTCATTTTTCTATTTCTGTTTAAAATGTTATGAGTGCGTATTGGGACATGTTTGGGTATGTGTGTGAACAAGTGTGTATTCAGGTGTGTGCACACGCATATGCATGGGGGTGTGTGTGTGTATGCATGTAGAAGCCAGATGTCAACCTTAGGTGTCATTTGTCAAGAGCTATCTACTCTATTTTTTCATAGAGGGTCTCTCGCTGAGACCTTGGATTTGTCATTTTAAGACTAGGCTAGCTAGCCAGCAAGCCCCAGAGAGTCTCTGGTCTCTGCCTCCCCAGGGCTGGGAGTACTAAAGTGTGCTTTTTCTGTGGATGCTAGAGTCCTTGGGTCCTGAGGTCCTTGTGCTTTAATAACAATCACATTAGTGACTGTGTTACCCTCCTAGGTTCCTCTCTGCTTACGTTTTTAAAAAGCAGTGTCTTAATACAAAGCCCAGGCTGGCCTGACCTCAGTGTCCTGCTTTGGGATCTCAAGGGATTACATGTGTTGTGCTACCATGCCCAGCTAGATGCTTATCTTAATACAATTTTATAACCTGCTTTTTTACTTAGGAAAGTATACAAAGATGATTCTTGCTGCTATTTTTCTTTTATTGTTGATTTTTATTAAGATATACTTTTTTGTTATTGTTTTTTGAAAGAGACAGGGTTTCTCTGTGTAAGAGCTCTGGCTGTCCTGGAACTTGTTTTGTAGACCAGGCTGGACTGCCTCTGTCTCCGAGCTGCCTGGCAAGAGATAACTTATATAGGATAAAATGCACTACTTATACAGGGAAATTCTTTGAATATATATAATTTTTATAAACACTACCATATTCACAATAAATCAGAGATCATTTAACTTTGCATGTATTTCGCCTCCCTGTCACTTGCTCTTGTTCGGTTCATAAGCAGAGATTGATGTGTATATTTCAAATTGCTGCTTGAAAAAAAAGGATAGTATTTTATAGCATTTGAAAATAGTATGAGATTTGAATTTACTGTCCATAGCACAGTCATGTTCATTCCTTTCATACTGCCTATGGCAGCCTTTGCACTGAAGTGCAGAGACAGCGAGTTGTGGCCAGCTGTGTCACTTGGCAAAGCTGGATCATTTACCCACTGCCCCACAATAGCAGTGTGCTGATCCCGGTACGGAACATTTCAACAATCCTAAAAAACTCCCCCTCTTATCTCTGCATCAGTCCCTTCCTCTCAAGTCCCTGAAGCTGCTGATCTGCTTGATTTTCCTATAGTTTTGTCTTTTAATAGGATAATACATATTTATACTTTTAGTCTAACTTCTTTCAGTGTGCACAATACTTTGAAGCAGTCTTTCCCTGGCTTGAAGCTAACCCTACTTAGGGCAGCCTGGCTGACTAGTAAGCCCTGAGGATCCCCCTGATTCCCCAGCATCGGGGTTCTTAGCATCTGCTACCATGCCTGGCTTTTTTACATGGCAGGTAGGGATAGAACTCAGGTCCTGTACTTGTCTAACAAGTACTTTACTGACTGAGCTGTCTCCCTAGCCCTTACTGTATTTACTTTTCTTTATAAATTATAGTCTAACTGGTGTTGCATGCCTTTAATCCCAACACACAGGAGACAGAGGGAGGCAAATCTCTTTGAGTTCTAGACCAGCTTTGTCTACCTAGTGAGTTCTAGGACAGTTAGGACTATATAGAGAGACCCTGTCTCAAAATAAGCAATTTTTTTAGAGTATTCCATTTAATGATTGATTGATTAATGGTTAAGTGATTGATTCATGACTTGGTGAATGTTTGAACTATGGGAAATAAAATTACTGTAAGAGTTCACATACAGTTGTGAACATAGGTTTCTATTTCATATGAGTACATTTCTTTTCTGTGTACATTTAGCTCTGTGATGGATGGAACCCTTTCCAGAGTGACTTCCTGTGCAGCTGCATCCTCACCAACACTTGCTGTTGCCAATAGAGAGTAGTGTCTCCTCTTTGTGAATATTTGCAAGTTTAAATATAAACTTTAGTTTAAGTTCATTATATTTTTTTTTCCTTACTAACTTTCCCTTTTTGTGACATAGACTCACTGTGTAGTTTCATAAGCTGAAGTTTAAATGTTAAGGTTATGTTTTAAAGAATTGAGGAAAATAGCATGGCATGGTATTAAAATCATGTAAAACTGAGTTCAATTTTCAGATATTTTAGAATGTGTGTTTTTAGCAACATGTTTAAGAAATCATTTTCTAATCTTTGGGTTTTCTAAATTTGTTTTCTTCTAGAAGCTTTCTTTTTTTAGCTCTTCCATTTAAGTCTGTGGCCCATTTTGAGTTTTCATATAGTATGACAAAAAGGTTATTGGTTTTTACCTACTCATATATAAAATTTCTGGTGTCAGTTACTGAAGAGATTATTCTTTCTCCATTGAATTGCCTTGGCGTCATTTGACCAGATGTATAAATCTGTCTTGAGCTTTAATTTTTGATCTGCTTATATTCATGTCTACCTTTCTGTCCACAGCAACCTGCTTTGTGTTCTGTTTGATTTCAGTAAGTCTTGACATAGGTAGTATGAATACACCATATTGCTCTTTGCTTTCCAGTTTGCTTTAAGACTCCATTCAGGTGTATTGACACGTGTGATAAAGGCATGGCATTAGGCCATTGATGCTCTGTTCATTCCCTTTTCAATCTCCGTTATATACTTTTTCAGTGGTTTACCATGCTATGCTTTCAAGTTCACCAGTATTTTCTTCCCATTATCTAATGAGCTCTTAATCTCACATAGTATTTTTTAGCTGTTATTTTATTTTTAATCTCTAGAAATACAATAAAAAAGCCAAGAACTTCAAGTCTGCAAGAATGTTTGTGACTTAACATTTGATATTTCTCATTATTTATAAATATCAAAAAATTAAATTTTTTTCCTCTTTCAGCCGCAGTAGACTGCTCAATTCCAGTAAGTGTGAATACCAGCATCAAATGTAAGTAATTTTTGAACATAGCATCCCTATAGAAAGGTGATGAGACACACAGAGTTTGAGATCTAACATTCTATGTTTAAATTCACTTCAGTGTTTAAGAGAGTCATTGTTGTCATCCAGCTGCCCTCAGCCACATGTGAGCCCCTAGGTACTGGATCACCTAGTAATTAATTCTCTTTGTGCATTGTTGGAACTGGCAACTGGCATGGGGTTTTCTCTAACATCTGCACAATTTTACATTCCAGCAGTCAGATGCAAGGCCTTCAGTTTCTCTCGATACAATATGTGAGAATTTGGGGTTAGTTTGGTTGGTTGGTTTATTTTTGTTTGTTTGGGGATTTAAAAATTCTCATGTTCTCCTCAAAAAAAAAATAATAATAATAGAAGAAACAAAATAGTCCCTAAGAATATAGGAAACAATAACAAAATGGTGATAAGTCCCAACTTATAAATGTGTTTTAAATGAAAAATAGATTAAACTTCCAGATCCAGAGGTGTATGGTGGCTGGCTCATTCTAAAGAGAAAAGAAAAGGGGGAAGGTAATATACTGTTTATAGGCGCTTTGGTTTAGATATAAGGGCACACTGAATAAAAGACTAGAAAGAAATAGTAGTACACAGGAATGATAACCAAAAGAAACCAGCAGTGGATACTATTATGTTGAGCAGAATATATTTTGAGTCAGAAAGTCTCTATAGAGAAAAAGATGGTCATGAAAGGGTACAGTAGGAAGGTCTAGATATATATGCCCAGTATTAGAGCTCCTGATTCCATACTACACTTTCAGTAATAGCAAGAACACCCAAACAAAACTCAGTAAAGAAATAGCGGAATTAGATAAAATAGCTAATGAAATGAACCTAATAAGCATGCCAGGCTTTCCGCCCATTTGATACACATTCCCTTAAGAGCATATGGAACATTCAAGGGCTTTATCATATAAAGTCACAAATTAATCTTCATGTATTTCAGAAAAGAAAAATCATTCCGGCTACCTTTTTAGCCACAATCTAATTAAAATAAAAGAAAAACAGAGTATAAAATTCACAAATTTGGGGATTGAGTCCAAGAAGAAATCAAATGAAGTTTAGATCAGATGTGGTGGCACACGCCAATCACCTAGTGGTAACACAGGAGGATTAGATGTCAGGGCCAATGTGGGCTTCATAGTGACACAATCTGTAAATGAAAACAAACAAACAAAAATCTCCAAACTTTAAAAAACAGCTTGTCTCAAAGGAAAACAAAAATACTGAAACTTGTAGGACACAGCAGTCAATACGAAGGTGCAAATGACTACACTGTAGAAGAAAAAGGATCTCGTGCAACTTAAATGTAAATTTTAGGAAACTGAAAAATAATTGAGGCTGGACCTTACTGGACAGCACTTGTCTCGCATATAAGAGACCTCATGTCAGCACAGAATAAGAAAGGAAAAAGAAACAGACTAGAAAAGAAAAGCAGCCCCCAGTTAGTAGAAGAAAGGAAATAATCAGTATTAGAAAAGAAATACAGAAAATCAACAAGAACACTTTAAAAAGCAGAAATTGGTTTCCTGAAAACACAAAATTGGCAGACTTAGCCAAACTGAAGAAGAAAAAGAATGAAGACTCACAATCAGAAATGAAAAGAAAAGCCATTCCAACAGAGGCCTCAGAGATGAAAAGGACCAGGGCCGCTGTGAGCAGTTCCACTCCACTAATTGGGTTCACAGGGGGAAAAAAAAAAAAAAAAAACAGATAAAATCCAAGAAGCGTGCAGCCTAGCGAAACTGAACCAAGAGTGGAAAACCTGAACAGACCAGAAGGGGAAGTTTAGAAAGCCCTCAGTAAAGAAGAGCCAGGACAAATCAGTTCCTATGCAAGCAAGCTCTTGCAGATATCCAGAGAAGGATGGAAACCAGTCAGTCCTACAACTTCAGAGCAAGTGAGAACATTTCCCATCCAAACTTAGGAGAGCAGGACCGCAGCAATGCCAGATTTAGACAAAAACAATACACGAAAACGATGGGTCATGTCCTGATGAATAGAGATGAAAAATCCTTATTAAAACACTTGCAAACTGAGCTCAGTAGCACTTCAATGTACGCATACCACCACCAAATGGCTGGTGCAGAGATAGTTAGACATACACATTAGTTGGTGTGTCGGGCCACATTATCAAAGTAAGGGGAGAAGCACATGAGCAGCTCCGGCCATGCAGAAGAAACATTTGGTAAAATCCCCCTTTCGTGATTTTTAGACTCTCGGTTTTAGGGTTTTATTGCTGTGATACACACCAGGACCAAAAGCAACTTGGGGAGGAAAGGGTTTATTTCAGCTTTCAACTCTCAGGTCTCACTCCATCACTGAGGGAAATCAGGACAGGAACTCCAGACACAAGCCTGGAGGTAGGAACTAAGGCAGAAGCTATGGAAGAATGCTGCTTACTGGTTTGCTCCTGATGGCTTGCTTTACACAACTCAAGACCATGTGTCTACGGTTGGCACCATCCACAGTAAGTTGGGCCCTCCTGCATTAATCAACAAAATGTCCCATACGCTTGCCCACATGCCAGTCTGGTGGGGGCATTTTCTCAGTTGAGGGTCCCTCTTCCCAAATGGCTAGCTTGTATCAAGTTGACAGAATACTAACCAGCACACCCTCTTATTAAAAAGTTAACCTCAGCACAATAAAAGTTATATATGAAAATTCCATAGTGACAACATAATGAGGGGGTAACCTCTAAGATATGACATAGAGCAATGATACCAGTTCTTCCCACATCGTATTGGAAGGCCTAGGCAGAGCAATTCCACAGAAAAGAAGTTAATGATATGCAAAATAAAAGTAGGAAGTAATAACAGTATCTCTGTTGCAAACAAGAGTATACGTATAGAGACCCCTAAAAACTCAACCATAAAGAACTATTAGAATATATTCATTTAGGGAGCTGGGTTAGGTAAAATCCTTTCCCTTGTCTGCCTGGCAAGCCTTAATTCATTCAATCCCTGGAAATGGGATTTGGAAAAAATTGCAAGGTGGAAGGAGAGAACCTACTCCCACTGTTGCCCTTTGTACATAACATGCAGGCACCCACACACATCAACACGCACACACGCACACACCACATGACTTAGTTTGGGGTGTTTATTGCTGTTAAGAGACACCATGACCATGGCAACTCTTAATAAAGAAACATTTAATTGGAGTGGCCTGCGTACAGTTTCAGGGGTTCAGACCATTATCATCATGACGGGGGAGCATGGTGGCCTATAGGCAGATGTAGGACTTGAGCTCAGAGTGCTCCATCTTGACCAGAAGGCAGCAGGAAGTCAACTGTCAAACTGAGGGAAGCTTGAGCAAAAATATCACAAAGCCTGCCCCACAATGACACACTTTCACCAACAAGGCCACACCTTCTAATGGTGCCACACTCCCTTTGGGGTCCTTCTTACAAACTACCATACATACATACCCAAACATACATAAGAAAAGGAAAAACTTATAACAAGTATTGACAAAGATGTGGAAGAAAAGGGGATCCATGCACAGCTATTACTGAGAATGTATATTGGGGTAGTAGCCATGTAAAAAATTGACGTATGAGTTTTTTTAAATTAGTAAAACTGCTGTATACTTCAGCAGCCCCATCTCTGGCTATATAATCAAAGAGAATGAAACCAACCTGTCAGACATGCACACACCTGTTTTGTACTATTATTCACAATAGCCAAGATACAGAGACAATCCAGATGCCCCCTAGCAGATAAGTGAATAATGAATGTGTGTGTGTGAGAGAGAGATAACAGACTGTGTGTCAGCCTTAGAAAAAGGAAAGTCTGGAGCACGAATGAATACGGGGGATCTTCACCAAGCTGAGAAGCCAGACACAGAAAGACAAATGCTGCATCATCTCCCATACATATACACACCAAGTTGTCAAGGACTCCAGATGGTGAAGTCAGGAGAAAGTAGAATGGAAGTGGAGATGGAGAGATGTTGGGCAAAGAGTAACACTTTCAGTTGTGAAAATAGATAGTTCTAGAATGTAATATGAAGCATCATTACCAATACTATATTGTATGTCATGATGTTCTAAGAGACCTTAAGTGTACAAAGTAGAAAAAAATGAATAACTATGAGGGTTGACAGTTATCTCAATTAAGTCAGCATTTCATAATGTATGTAGACATCAAAATACTGCCATATATATATATATAATGTAATTTTAATCAGAAATTTGATCACTAAAGCTATAAATCTACCAAGTAATCTTATAGATACATGTTTATCTGAGAATCTTAGAGTAACTACCTTGTTAGGGTAGCAAGGAATATATTAACCAAAAGTAAAGATTTTGGTGACTGATAAAATAGAACTTGACAGTTAGGCTGGTCTTTTTCTAAGATTAAAAAAAAGAAAAAATCTTAGTAAAATACAGATGGTCAATTTAAAATATTTAAAATTATAGTTGGCCCTTCATATGTAGAGGTTCCATACTATAGATTCAGCCAAATGCATATTTTAAAAATGTTTAAAAAGTAAACTTTGTTGTTGACATATATTTCCTAGTTATTTTTCTGGTCATTGCTTAAAACGCCAAGTAGTATCATTTGTAGGAAAATACTTAGGGGAAGAAATTAATCAGGACTTCAATCTTCATCATTTTAAGGTCAAAATGAGTACCTATTAGGAATCCACTTGGGGCCAGAAAGATGGCTTAGCAGGTAAATGCACTTGCCACCAAATCTGACAGCCTGAGTTTGATCACCAGAGCCCACATGGTGGAAGAAGAGAAGTGATTCCTACAAGTTGGCTTCTAGCTTCTTCGTTCATATCATGACATGTATGTTCCCCAATAAATAAATTCATTGATTTAAAATAATAAACAAATACAGTTGTGTCTTGAAGAAGGCAGTTAGAATATGAGTCTGGAGTTAAGAAATGAGTTTCAGGATAGAGATGAAATTTTGAAATTTGACAGAATAGTCAGTAAAGTCTTGTTTTCATATTTTGTTTTGAAATTCAACTTAATGCTTTTTTACTCAGGATACATATTATATTGCCTTAATTCGTTTAAGGTATAAATTAGTTGTCTTAGCCTTATAAAGAAAAGTACAATGGCTAAAATTTTAAAAAAATATTGTAATTTCCAAAGTGCTTACTAGCAGCCATTATTACTCCTTATAATATTTAAGTTTATAGGCATCATAACTGATGGGGATAACTCAGAAGTAAGGCTTATGAAGTAAAACAATATACCCCTGGATTTGAGCCATCTATGTTTTTGTGCTTTACACACAATGGTTAAATACTGAGTTGATCATTTTGATCTTTAGAATATCCAAAGTGGAATATAGTTTGCTATTTCAGTAATGCTATATATAAAACATTAGATAGGCTTTACAATGTTTTAACCTTTATTTTTATGTGTATGGGTGTTTGTCTGCATACCACATATGTGAAGTGGCCAAAGAGCCCAGAAGAGCTGCCATGTAGGTGCTGGGAATTGAACACAGGTCCTCAGAAAGAGCAGCCAGTGTTCCTAACCGCTGAACCATCTCTCCAGGCCTAGCTTTACAGTTTTGACTAAACATACCTTTTCAATTTCTTCTTTTTCCTCTTTTAATTTTTTTTTATTTCTTAAGCTCTGTGTGTGTGTGTGTGTGTGTATGTGTGTGTGTCTGCACACACATGTGCCATAGTGTACATGTAGAGATCAGAGGACAACTTTGGAGAGTGTATTCTCCCTGCCATGTGGGTCCCAGGGATTGCACATAGGTTTTCAGGCCTGGTGGCAGGCATCTTTACGGACTGAGTCATCTAAGCCTTGTTACCCTGCTCTACTCCCCACACATATCTTTTGGTCTTTTTTGAGACAGAATCTTGGAATATAGTCCTAGCTAGCCTGATACTCACTGTGCAATCTAGGTAGCCTCAAACTCAAAGTAATTCTTTCTATTTTCAAATTCTGGAATAGCAGGTATGTGCCACCACACTGGCCTTGCTTGTGTAATTTTCTATAAAGATGCATGTAATATTAATAGTCTGTTTAATTCTGGAATATGGCTAGCTTTCATTTTACTATTTTCAGTGTTTGTCCAGGGATAAATTTTTAATGAACTTGCTAGTCAGTATCTGACTTAAAAGCACACTGAAGTATGAAACTACCTCTCTACCATCATTTTCTAATGAATAGCAGTTACAAGAAACTGAAGTCAGTTGCCTGACTGCAGATGTTTTTAAAATGTTAGCATGGCTTTGTTGTTGTTTTGCTTGTTCTCAAGATGGAGCTGTTGCTTAAAATGGCCTTAACTCCTGTCTCTTCTCTCTGTTTCAAATTTCTACAAATTACATATCAGTTAGAATCTCTTTCTACAGAGAAACATGGATTTTACCTACATATGACAGTAAAAACATGTTTAACAAGAAAGGTGTGCCAGCCGTGCATGGTGCTATCGGCCGCAAATCCCACACTGGGAGTGAAAGTTCTCCAGGCAAGATCGGCACAATTTCTAGAGCATCTGGGGCTATGTGATGAGATGTGTCAAAGAGAAAGGGCCCAGGAAGGGAGAAATCCTTGATTTTATTAGTCTGGCAAGACCAAAATGTTAGTATGTGTGTTCTGTTGCTGTTTTAGAAGGTTTGTTTCCTTCCTTAGATGCAGACCAACAACGAAGAGAGAGACTGAAAAAGGAATTGGCACGATGTGAAAAGGAATTTAAATTAAGTAAATCTACAATGCAGACCAATTCTAAGATGAATTCCAAGTCCTTTTGTAACTCCTTCCAGAAGGTAAGGCTGTTCTTCCACACTTTGAAAGCAGATGTTTCTAAGGCATGAGGGTGCTGCAGCCTGACTTGGGACCGCTTTCAGGAGGTTTGGGCCAGCAACCTTAAGCATTAAATGTCAAGTGGCTCTACTGTGTGCTTCTTGGGCCACGCCTCCTCACAGCTGCCTGCTGCTAAATTCCTATCTGTGTTCCATGCAAGCTCCACTAGCTAGAAAGGAAGATGTCTCAGATCTGGCCTGCAGCTGTAGCTGGCTGACCTGGACTGTGGTTAATGTTTTTGACTCTCTTTAACATTTATTGGAAGAAGTGCTTTTCTGTTCTGAGAAGTGATTGCAATTTTCAGAGTCTCTCCCATGAACAGATTAGTTTTTTAATTAAAAGCATTTTGATACAAATATGTTTTGATCTCAATGTGTAATTTTATCCAGTGCTCTTTTTACATTTTTTGGCAACAATGATGTGATTTTCTGTTTCATTTATTAACATATGAATGACTTGTGTCCTTAATATAAACAGATCTGAGCTGTGATGCAGTAAAGTTTTCTTTCTCCCTTCTTTCTTTCTCTTCCTTCCTTCTTCCTTTCTTTCTTTCGTTTTGTTTGTTTGGCTTTTGGCTTCTTGTTTGCCTTGTTTTGAGACAGAGTCTCTCTGTGCAGCTTTTGTCCTGGAAGTTGCTCTGTAGACCAGGCTAGCCTCAAACTTACAGAGATCCATCCCCCTCTACTTCCCAAGGGCTGTGATTGAAGTATTAAGGTTTTCTATGTTGCTGGATTCAGTGGTATACTTTGTTTAGGATTTTGACATCTGAACACAGTTTTTAGTTAGACATACCCTTTAGTTAGTCATACCCTTTATAAAGGGTATGGCTTTCTGGAAAGAAAGCTTAAGAACTGATCCAGGGCATTATTGCCACGAATACACAGGGCTTATTATTTAAAAAGTCAACTTGCTAGGACTTGGTATCTCGATTGATTATATGAAGAGAAAAGCAGAAGAGAAAGATCCCAGGGATTCTGGTAAGAATAGGATAGCATGCAGGCGTTCTTCTGGGGTGACATTGGTAAGAGGCAGAGTTTACTTCTTTGGGAAGTGCCTTGGGAATGTGAATATATCTAGGAGTCAGTTGCATCAGAGCCCCTCTTTCAGGAGAAGATCTGGGAATCATGGGGTGGGGGAGGCAGCTAGGGAGAGAGCCCCTGCACTGTTGTAAGGGCACAGGCCAGGAAGGACACTTCCCTGAGTAGATCTGCTCCGTGCCCTGCACTGTGATACCACCTGCTAATCTCTCTATCCATGCTGTACTCACAGGTAGATGTCTTTTTTAATATTTATTTCATTGTATGTGTATGCATGTATGCTATACTACCATATGCATGCCATGTGCCCTCAGAGGCCAAAAGAAGACATAGGATTCCCTAGAACTAGAGTTATGGGCAGTTTTGAACTAACGTGTGGGTCCTAGCAACCAAACATAGGCCATTTGCAAGAATATCAAATGTTCTTATCCTCTGGGTCATCTGTCAACCCCTGAATTTTTATGGTTATTAAAATTGTTCCATAATTTTTTAATAATCTCTAACACTTTGAATATAAAGTAACAATTTTGGGTTTGTTGAAATTTTTAAATTTCCTAGTGTAATGTACTTTATGAATCATTTGTAATAAAACAAACATTTTAACATGTCTATTTACTTTCCATTTAGTATTTGTAATTCTATAACTTGCTTGCCTACATGATAGTTCATTTATGCTTTTATACTTTTTTTGGTTCCATTTAGAAGTAATAGTAATTTTTAGTTTGCCTGTACTTTTTTTTTTTAACAATTTTTAATGACTAATACTTTAGAAACATCAAGTTCTCTTAATAGTTTGGGTAGTATAGTTCAATAATTGGGTAGATTTTATGGTTGACAGATACTTAATTGTAAAATATTTTCACTGAAAAAATAGTTACAACTAACAATGCTGGCTTTGGACTGTTAGTGTCTTAGCAGTTTCTGCAGACACATGAGCTCCTATTTCAGAACCTTGTGTCTTCACTGCACAGGCTTTCCTGCTGCTTTCCTTCACATGAGGCTACCTTTCAGGACCCTTCCAAATGCTTTCCTTCCAGCTGCTGCAGTTCAGATCTTGTCCACCATTTTTTCTGTTGTTATTCCTGAAAGAGATGGAGTTCTCACTTGTTCTGTGGTTGTAAATTGGGGAGGTGTCCTTGACATGAACTTTGCATAAACCCAAATCACAGAAACAGTTAATAGCAAAGCACCTCCCTCGCATGTCAGCATGATGACACCAGAGCAAGTGGGCAGAACACCACCAGACTGCTTGTTCCAGAACTTTCCAATAGACTGCTTTTCCATTTGGGGTGGCTTACCAAAGTTTTACCCATATTCAGTATCTACTCAGGCTTTGCAGTATTTAGAGAATTGAAGGAAACAATTATATGGTCTTGAAAAGCAGATCAGTAGTACAATTAATTTCATACTACATTCTGTTGATTTCCAAGGGGACAATAGAATACAAGGTAGTGTTTGAGATAAGAAAAATATATCGAGAAACCCTGTCTGGGAAAAAAAAAAAAAAAACACAAAAAAATATAGATAAGTTTCATGCTTTCTATTAACTCAAAAACAATTTGCCAGCCCATATCAGATAAGAATATTTCTTTTGTTCTTTTTTTTTTTCCCTGTATTGGGGATTAAACACAGGACCTTGTGTATGCTAGACAAATTTTCTTTTTCTTTTAACATTTATTAATTATGTATGCCTGTGTGCATGGGCATGTGTGTGCATGTGACAAACTTGTGGGAATTTCCTTCCACCATGTAAGATCCAGGGATCAAACTCAGGTTTTAGACATGGCATCCATCACCTTTATTTACTTAGCCAGTTCATTGGCTCTGTATTTGTATTCTCAAAGATTCTCTTTGGTATTTCATTGTAGTAAAACATCACATAGATAAGACTTATCAGGCAATCTAATACATTAGGCATTTCCCCTTACCATTCCTCTGGGCATAAGTAATTCTAATGGTTATTGATAGCCCTGTAAGATTCAGAAATGCCTTTTCAAAGAGCCACACTCTTTGTACATCAGCTGTAATATGAGCCCAGTTTGAGAGCATTTTTTTAAAAGCTAATGTACTGAAGTAATAACCTAAGGCCTCAATTTAATGCAGAATATTCACTTTAACTTATTTTGGGAAGGAAATTATGTGTCTGGACCATTTAGGAAGTAGTCATGTAGTCTCCTTACTTAGATACATCAGTTTGTAAGTTAGCTGACCTGTACATTATCAAGAAAGGAATTTAAATCAATTTAAGATTCCTTGTGCTGTAAACAAAATCTAAAATTAAGTAGTTCAGATGAGCTTTTAAAACATAATATATGGGATAATAAAGAGCAGAGGCACAGAGTCAGCTTGAGCCTGTGCTTCCTTCTAGAAAACAAGGGCAGAACTGGGAATGTAGCTCAATGGTAGAACACTTGCTTAGCAGCTCAAGGCCCTGAGGGATAACAAAGTAATGATTGTACACAAGTTGGAGCCAAGTCACATGTATAAGTTAATCCAAGATTCCCCAGTTACATGAATTTACAGTGTAACTGCTTACCATCAAATCATATGTTCTTAGCACTCAGGGGAACCACAAGGTCAGGATATATTAGTTGGAGAAGTGACAAGATATCCATCATTTTCGAAGTCATTCACCCCTTCTTCAAATGGACTACATCTTCAGCCTGAAATGAATAAAATTATCATGAATGGCACCCAGAAGTATCCCAGCACCTCTCCATCCAGCATGGCTTGTTCAGGGTCAGCACCCAGGAGCCCGAGCCCTGGGCATGGCTATGACAGGAGGCCTGGGAGTGCCTTCCCAAGTGCTCACCGGTTCCAGCTAGTCATTTCCAAGACACCCAGTGGAGATCTTTTGGAAAAGCACTCGGACCTCTTTTCTAACAAGCAGTTGCCATTTACCCCACGCACTTTAAAGACAGAGGCAAAGTCCTTCCTATCACAGTATCGCTACTACACACCTGCCAGAAGAAGGAAGGACTGTCCAGACCAGATGGAAGCTGAAACCCAGACTGAATTGAGCAGGTTTGTATGGAGCATGTACAGCTGAGAGCAAGGCCAGCAAGTCGCGGGTGGGAGGAGTGGGGGGATCGGATGGGGGGTGGGAGGGACAATAAGCAGTATCTCTTGCTTTGTTGTGCACTTTGTAAGCCAGCTTTGAGATCTTGACAGGGCCTTCTCATTTCAACGAATTGATAGGACTTTCCAGTGCATCTTTAGAAGTAGACAGTAATTGTAGAAAAGAATCACTATTAGATTCGTTAAGTTCCTGTAAATGAACACTCCATAAGTTATTGTTAAACATCGTTCTCCGACTTCTGTGTGTTCTTAAACGTTGTTTTCAGAGAAGTTGTAGGATACATTGTCAGACAGCACGGATGTAAATATAGATTCATGTTAACAGTGGTAAAACACTGAGACCCAGAAGGGAAAATAAACATTTACCCAATTCCCTATGTTTCTTCCTGGCACATGTTCACACCCTGTGTAGTAACAGCTGCAGGCGTGACTTAGACAGTTGAGAGGACATCTGGAAGTCATGATTTGCCTTGTTTGGATTGCTTTCTCTTGTAGTGAGTGGTTCTCGATATTCAGTAACTTTGCCAAGTGATTATAGTGTATTTTGCACTAGAGTTTGGTTATTCAGAAACGAAGCCCTGTAAGACTGGTTTTGGGAGTATAGGTAAGAGGTGCAATGATAGCTGATTTAAAGGGACTTGGATCTGTAAGAAATGAAGACGTCATTGCTGGATTTGACAACACAGACACTAACAGTGACGTGAGACTGAGGACTGGCAGGGCTCCTGTGCAAGGGTGACACACAGTGGAGGTGCAGTCCATATTTTCCATCAGTGTGGGAAAGGGCCATCTGGGGGGGGCAATGGCGGGTGGGAAGGAGATAGAGGAGGGTGCGTGGGGATGTAAATAGAAGGAACTATTATGTATTTATCTAAAATTGTCAAAGAACAAGTCCAAAAGAAAGAAATGGTAATAACTTTATAAATGTTGTAAGGACAGTCTCATTTCTCTTAGCCCATTGTATAGTTAACTGAAATCTAACATTTTTCAAGCAAAGAAAAGGAAGCATGTGTGAACCAAATCATGTCTATTCCCAGATATGTATTAGAAATTACACGTTTTTATAAAAGTAACTAGATGTATTCCTTTTTCTTGATAGTAAAGCTTGTCACTGTGCTTATAATGGAGTAACAATCATGTCTTTGTAAATGTCGTAGCTTTAATTCTGAGTCTGGGGCAGCTGAGACAAGGAACTCAAAGGACTCAGAAGTGAACGTAAAGCAGGTACTAAACATGAGATCTTTATGCTGTTGTCTTTGGAGTTACAGGTGCTTTGACTTGTGTAGATTGCAGACAGCTGTTTGGACTATCCAGAGTAATTAATCCCTCGGGGACACTTGTTAAATAGTCAACATTCGAAGGTTTGCTTGTTTGCAGGTGTCAGATGTGCTTTCTGAATGGCCAGATGGACTCTACCAGATCTAGGGAGTCACTGGTTATTAGCACCCAAGTGATTCGCTGGCTGGCTGAACAGGTGGATGAATAAAATATGTTAATGACATTTTCAAAAAATACAGATTCTGAGAACAAGCCATGGTGGCATTTGCCTATAATCCCAACACTTAGTAAAGGTGGGAGGATCATGACTAGGAGGCCACCCTGGACTATACAGCCAGCCTAGACTAAGCTATCTAGCAAGGTTGTCTCAAAACAACCAGAGCTGTACTGAAGTTTGGTGGCAGAGAAATCACTTAGCATTTGCAAGGCTGGGTTCAGTACCACACCACCAGCACTCACAGAAAAGTAGACAAGTTACTAAAGCTGATGTCAAAGCTACATCAAAGTTTGAATTTTCAATGCCTGTATATTTTAAAGGATTGTCTGTCTCTGAGTTCAAGGCCAGCCTGATCTGTAGAGTGAGTTCCAGGACAGCCAGGCTACACAGAGAACCCCTGTCTCAAAAAAAAAAAAAAAAAAAAAAAAAAAAAAAGTTGTCCATGACTGTATTATAAATCATGTATTATAAAAAAAGATCAGTAGAAAACATTCTCTTACATTTGCCTTTCCTTTTATAAACTTTATTACATTGTATTTTGAATGTTTAGCAATGATTTATTTTAATATACCATAGCTTTAAATATGATATCTCAGGCAAAGTCATTTAATTTTACTTATTTCATTCATGTATTTATAGCCTAACCTAAATTTATTAGTATAAACATGGTTTGCATGTTTAAATGTCAAGCACAGACTCAGGGATACAAAAATAAAATTAATCACACTCAACTTCTTTTTTCTCTTCTGAAACTGAATAGGAAGTATGGGTTTACATCTCAGCCATTGATAGCTTTTTGAAGGGGAGAAAACAGGCTCTGAGAGCCAAATGTCTTCCGAAAAGACTAACTAACCTTCAGAGTCCTTAGGAGAAGGGCTTGAGAAATGATGCCTATTTTTACCTTGAATTTTGACGAAAAGAATTAGGTCCATAGATACCTAAGTAAATTAACACAGGGCAAGTGACCCGAGTTCCCTAGAATCCACTGGGGAAGGAGAAAACTGCCTCCCAGGTTGCTTGTCTTCTGACCTCTCCATGTGCGCTGTGGTGTGCTCATGTCTGCGCTCACACACGCATCGAACACACATCATTCTCATCTTCATAATGTTACTTATAGTGATAAATGAAACTGAAAGGAACCCAGTTTATTACATTGCAATCCAAATGTTCATCTGTAGCCCTTCGAGAAAATGATGGATCCATACAGTAGTCTTGAACTTAAGAAAACTAGTGAAATATTAACTACAGTAGATCTAGGGTCTAACCACACTTTTAAAACCGTGAAGCATTTTACATGAATCAGCTTTGGAGGCTGGGGATGTAACTTATTTGGTAGAGTACTTGCCCAGTATAAATGAAGCAATAGTACTGCATGAGCCTGGTGAAGTGCTGCTGGCTTCTTCCTTTCTCTTTGTTCACTGTCTGTTTGTTTGTTTGTTTGTTTGGGTTCTGTTTGGTTTGTTTTGAGACAAGGTATGTCTAAGTAGCCCAGGCTGTCCTGACTGGTGCCCAAGGAGGTCAGGAGAGGGGGCTGGATCCGCTGGACTGGAGTTAAGTACAGCTACAAGTGGCCACATGGGCCCTGGGAACCAAACCTGGGTCCTCTTAACCATGGAGCCATTTCTCCAGCCCCAGTGGTACATGATTGTAATTCCAGAAGGTAGAGGCAGGAGGGTCAGAAGTTCAAGGTCATCCTCGGGCACAAAGGGATTTCAGAGCCAGCCTGAGCTACAAGAGACCTGTTTGAAAACAAACAAAAAATTATCTTTGTAAAGATCAATTAAAAAAAAAATATTGCCAGGTTTGAGACACATAGGAAGAACTCTGTTTGACATTGTTCGTATGCCACTGCTGCTGTAGCTGCTGTCATTTATGACATTTGGGTGTTTGAAACATGTGCTTTTGAATTTTAGTAATGTAGTTAATGAATTGTTTCTCTACTTAAAAGCTACAGCTTTGTATCATTTTATCATTTTCATGGATTTCTGTTCTTTGGCGCTTTTTTTTTTTTTTTTTTTTTTTTTTGACGTGGGTGTGCGCATGTAAGTGATGTCTCCCATCCAAGTACTAACCAGACCAACTCTGCTTAGCTTCTGGGATCAGACAAGACGGGGCACTTTCAGGGTAGTGTGGCTAGCCAGGTGTGGTGGCACACACCTTTAATCCCACCACCTGGGAGGCAGAAGCAGGTAATCTTAGTGAGTTTGAGGACAGCCTTGCCTACATTAGCAACTTCCAGTACAGTCAGAGCTAAATAGGGAGACCTTGTCTCACAATAAAGATTTTAAAGGTGGTATGGCTGTGGACTCTCTTCCCAGGTGACCTGTGAACTGTGACCCTCATGCTTTAGTCTTTCAGAGTTGGGGTCACAAATGCAGACTCCTCTCCGATCTGTTATGATTCCCTAATGCTGTTTGAAATGTTTCTCATTAACACGAAGAAAGTGATAGTTGGGTAGACTATTCTGTTTTTGTTTTAATATATCAGTTACATTTATGTAATTATTTTTGTTAATACTTGCTGTTTTATTTCTTTCAGAACATACTTTTAATTCCTTTTGTTCCATTTCCAGGCACCTAGTTACATGATAAACGGTGCTGAAGACAAAAGATCTCCTTTACCCTCACAAGGACAAAACTTAGACTGGGACAGGATTAAAAATGGGACTCTTCAGGAGTCCTCCCAAAGGTGAGTGGCACCTTACATACTTGGGGGCAGAGGCAAGAGGATCACAAGTTTGTGGCCAACCTAGGTCGCAGACCGAAACCCTGCCTCCATTTGCCTTCCTGTGTAATAGACATATCGCATTTACCCTTAAGTATGATTTTAAATACATGTGCTTATACATTTTAATATTATAGAATTCTGTGGCACTGTCATTCTTACTAAGGAAATTTTATCAAAGTTCTCAATAAAGGGTAGAATTAGTTTTGCTGATTAATATGTTAATAAGGGGAAAGGGAAGCTAGTGTATAGTAGTTGTTATCTCTCTTCATATTAGAATGGGTTGTCCTCAAGGCCAATCCTCTGGCAATGATAGTAACCAGGCTCTATGACACCAATAGTCCTGAAGAACTTGCCATCTGATGAACTGTGTGACTTGGAGACAACAAGCTGCAAGTGCTGGCAATGCAAGCCTGATAAACAGTTTGATCCCCAGAACCCGTGATTCTTGAAGGAGAGAGCTGACTTCCAGTCTCATGGTACCCGCCTGCATGTAAACACACGCACACACACATGTGCACACACACACACAATACACACACAAATTAATTTTAAAAAGCCATTATGATGTGGAACATTCCCACATGCCAGTATTTGGTGTGCCCTGCTGTTGGGAGATGCTCTTAAACATTGCACCCCATACTTAATGACCAGCAAAACTTCGGACCAGCAAGTGTCAGCTATCAACTGCATTTCCAGTGTAGGAGACTGGGTATGAGATGAAGGGGAAGAGTATTCACAAGGGAAGAATGGGCATGTGCTTTGGAGCAGACAGGAAGAGAGTACGCAGACCCTTCAGTGCCCAGCTTCCCCTTGGTGCCCTAACTAAGGAGATCTTGACTTCCAAGACCACAGTAGGTTGAGTACTAAGTCCCTGTGCTTAAAACTCATTGCCCAAACACCTATTAGCACATGGGCGCACACGTGGGCGCACACTCCCGAAGAATTAAATCACAGATGAGAGAACTCTTAGGAATCCCAATGCATGTCATTACTAATGTAGACTATCCATCAGGTAATATTTGTGTGCCAGCCTTGTTGTTGTCATTAAAATATTTTACCTTTTTGTTTTTCTAGGACACTCTTTGAGCTCTCCACACAGCTTTCTTCAGACAGTAAAATCTATCCTGAGTAAGATCATTTTGACCTCTTTCTACTTTAGTGGGAAGCAGAGTTAAGACTCAGGGAAATCATAAGATATATTAACATATAAATCAGGTAATAAGATTCTGAGGCACAATACAGGCTGATTGAGGTTTATTTGGGGAGAATTCACTTACACAAGAAACAGGTGACCGCTGCAGGTTCCCACTCCAAGGATGTCCTCAGATCTCTGTCTCCGACCCGGAAGTAAGAGAGAGAACATCTGGGTCGAGACCCGACCTAGACTCCACCGGTCACACCCACACCTGTCCCCATGTCCCAGTGGGCGTGGTCAGTACAACAGGTATTCGTGGGTGAACTCATCATCCACACCCAGCTTTGGAGCATCAGTCATTTAATCCATGCTGATGGATGAATTGTTGGGCATCTTATCTGTAGTGGAAATGTGTCCCCAGTGGAAATGTGTTCCTAAGTTAATATCTACTAATAATTTCTAATAATTGGTGTGTCAGATTCTTGCTTATTTTTAATAATTTAAACTAGTAAACCCACAGGAGAAGATTTGGAGCTCAGGGGCCTCTTGGGAGGTTTGTGACTGCATCTCTTTGCAGACTGTCATCATTGCTTTCTATGGTTATGTTACATTTTTAAGTTAGGTTGTTCAAGAAAGTAATCTATTTTATAACTTCATTTATTTGTTCTTAAGCAAGTTCCTATGGATTGGTTTTTAAGCATGCTAGTTTACACAACCACCTGTCCCCTATATTTGTTTATTCATCAGTTAAATAGCTACTTACCATTTTCCATTAATTCACGAGTTTCCGCTAACTAGAATCAATTACAATAATGTCCTAGCATTCTTATAATAGGTACTAAAATTTAGACATGAGGTAATATAATAAGAAATGTGTCCCAATTTGAAAAATTACTACTACATTTTTTCATTCATAAATTTGCCTGTTAGAAATTCTTTTCTCTTTTATAAGGATTTTGAGGGGAAAAAAGCAATCTTTCTGCTCAGTAAATTTCCCAACTTGAACACAAGATGCTGAGCAAGACTCAATAAATGTTACGCTCCTGCTTCCCTGGGTGGTACCCTCTTTGTCTTTCTGCCGTTATGAATGTTCCAATAGAAATGTTACTCCATTAGGGGATGCTTTCTCACTTTTATTATTTTCCTTTTGGAACATGAGGAAACAGACTTGTTTTGTACTATTCTCCATACTCGTGGGTAGCAGTCCCTGTGATGGTGGAGTGGGGTGTTCCTGCCTGGCCTCTCATGCCATATGACGATTCTAATGCTCTGTGTCCTTCTGCAGGGAAGAAGAGCTGCTCTACCTAAACTTCATGGAAAATGTGACTGATGAAATTTTGAAACTTGGTTTATTTTCCAACAGGTGAGAGATTTTTTAAAAAATGTGTATGGGAATTGAGGTGCGCATTGACTATTTCTCACACAGTAGGATTTTTAAAATTACTTATTAGGATATAAAAATTTATGGTCCTTTTTATGATTTTGTTTTATAATTGATAGTAAGTTATAAAGATAGTAAATTAGAAAACAATAAAGATTTTTTATTTAAATATTATATCTTGGTTATATCAAACTGTATAATGAATTTTTGATACCTTTTAGAAAAGCCTCTATAATTCTGCCTTGCTATCTGAAATAAAAAACAAGCTTTCAGAATTTTATTGCATGTGGGGGGGGTCACATGCCACAGCATGCTGCAAAGGTCAAAAGACAACCTGTGGGAGTCAGTTCTCTCTCTCCACCATGTGAGTCCTGGAAATTAAACTCACATCACCAGGCTTAGTGGCAAGCACCTTTTGACTTGGTGAGCCTCTTATCAGCCCACAGACATTTTTACTATAACTATGTAAGATCTATTAAAGACAAATGGAAAGCTCTGTTTGTGTAGTTATGTGAAATGGAGAGTTTGCACAAACATTGTTGCATTGCTTATGGAAGTTGTCTGTTGAGTACAGCACAAACACTGCTGTGTCTAAAATCCAGCAAGCGTTAGGCTCCACTACCTGTAGCAGAGCATAGGACTGCCCAGCAGACTCTACACACGTTCTCAGTCATATGCTGAACTGCAGACATTGCAGTGGCTATTCTGTCTCTACGTCAGGATTTACTTTTTAATGAAGGAAGACACTTTCATTATTGGAATAAAAAGACCATTGGTGTGTACCAATAGCCAATACTGTCAACTGTCATACCTCTTTTATTTGAAAAAAAAAAATGTTTAATGTGAGCAGGAGAGATGGTTCAGTGGATAAGAGCATCTAACGATATACAACCATGAGGACCCAAGTTCAGATCTCAGCACACACATAAGGAGCCAAGTGAGTCTCATGCAGGCCTGAAACCTCAAGGCTGTCAGGGTGAGTGCACAGAGACAGGATTACTGGGGTTTTCTGTTTGGAAGAACCTCTTCCACAAAGGAATAGATTAATGTTATACACGATGCCATCCTTGACCTTGAGTACACACAGGCATGCACACTCATACATATATACTAATCTTATAATTTCAAAAACTGCATACGAGCTTCAAAGTTTCAAGGTGAAACCTTTTGGAGAGCAGATATGTTGAACATTTTAGGATGGCTAAAATGGTAACTTTTATGCTTTGTTTTTAATCACGAAACCCCAAAAGTTTTACATAGCATTTACATTTTTCCGTAAATGTTTATATTTTCCTCTTACAGTTTAACTTTGGTTCATAAGACTAAACCAGCCAGAGAAAGAAACTAAGATGGGTATCTTCTGACTGAAAGATGTTCAAAGAGCATCTAGTCGATCAGAAAGTGTGTGTGTGTGTGTGTGTGTGTGTGTGTGTGTGTGTACCCAAATAATATGTATTATTTAATTCCACCTACATAAGCATAGAAAAGCCAAGATGTACATATTCCAGAATTTGAACAAAAGCTATAAAGAATAGGATACAAGTTTCTTGTTCTTTTAAAAATGACAGAATAATCTGACCTCACTGAATAGCACGAATGATGGTAACTTGAGTGACCAAGGAAATTAGTTGTGTTTTCAGGAAACCTGGGGACAGTTTCGTGTGATTCTGGGCCTGGTGTAGAAAGAGTACATTCTCTGAGGCTAGTCACGGCTGTGTTAAATTCTCTGAAGGGCTTGTGACCTTAGGGGATGCAATTTCTCATCTTTAACATGGTTTTCACTTTCATGCCCTGGCTTTGGCAGGAAAAGAGGTAAATCTGTTTGTGTGAGCCAGGTTTGGTGACACACGCCCTTAATCCCATTAAGGAGGCAGATCTCTGAATTCTAGGTTAGCCTGGTAGCTTAGAGTTCCAGGCCAACCAGGGCTTTGTAATAGTCTGTGTTGGGGTTGGGTGGGGGCAGATTGTCTAGCATAAATACCTGGCATTCACTTGGAGGTCTTTTTGTAGGCATACATACCATCAGGGGAGTGTATACTTAGAGCCGAGGTGATCTGGATCGACAGGAGCATTTTCTCTAGGCTTTGGCAGGAGTGTAGGGAGTTTTTGGTGTCTGTGTCTTATGGAGAGAGCCTTACAGGGAGTATTGTCTCCCCTGAACCACTCACAGAAAAACAGGGTGCAGTCCTTCAGATACAAGGGCATCTAGCATATCACTTCTTTGCATAACCAATGCCAGACTGCCTGCCAGGTGCGAGAAGTAGACGGAACAGGAAGGACTAGTCTCAGCTTCACAGAGAAAATCATCCGGAAACCACTTTCCAGCCTTTATACAGTCAGTTTCTGTATAAAACCTGTTTTACATCGAATGGATTATCTGATTTTAAGATACTGATGTTTTTCTTTATCATTTGTAGGTTTTTAGAACGACTGTTTGAGCGGCATATAAAACAAAATAAACACCATTTGGAGGAGGTTTGTCTCTCTTTAGAATGTAATGTTTTTCTGTAGTCTAAAAGAAGGCATTTAAAACAGGTACTTTCCACATGTGCTTTGTGTGAGGGGAGGGGGTGCTGGGGCTGTGGAAGTGTTGATCCTCTGAGACTCAGTTTATTAACTGATGCAATGGCCCTCACAGTCACATGTTTCCTTCCTTCCTTAATCCTAGGAGAAAATGCGCTACCTGCTGCATGGCCTGATGGTTGACTTAGGCTGCATATCCGAGGAACAGACAGCAAAGCAAAGAAATTTCAGAATGTTGAATCAGCTTGATTTTCAAAAGGCTCTGATTGCAAAACAAAATGAACCTACAAGTGATGATGATACAGTAATTCAGCAAGAGCGTCAGCAGTTCCAGAAGGCCCTGGACATGCTGTCATCTGTGCCCAAGGATGAAGACAAGTTGTTCTCTTTACCGGGTGAATTTTTAATACCCGTCCATAAACTGAAGTGTTCAGAAGGTGTTACAATTCAACAGATCAATGATGAGACAGATGAGGAAGCCTCGACCTGGAATGAAAACAACCCAAATTTTTCTGACAGTTTAATAGACCAGGAAACCTCTGTGGATGTTATTGAAGGTGACAGTGACTCTGAAAAGGTTGAGACTTCCAGGGAATTATGTTGTCTTAACACATCACTGTCCCCCTCTGTTCAGTTCCCCAGCTTCAAAGGTGGCAATAATCATGACAAGGAATTATTGACTCTAAAAATCATGGAAATGAGCATTGAAGACTGACCTGTGGACCTTCATTAATAAATACTTCATGTGGCCAGTAAAGCAATGTTACTTTTCTCCTGGTTTTTTTCCTTTTACATAGTAAGATTTCTGTATTTTCAATGCTATACAATAAATTACCATAAATTTAACATCTTGAAACACCACATATTTATCATTAATTCCATTGTCTGTGGCTCAAGAATTGAAACACAGCGTGTGATGCGTGCTCTGCTCTGGGGTAAAAAGCTATAGTCCAGGTGGTATTTGGGGCTTGAGCTCATCAGGAGGTTTGGCCAGGGAGAACCTTCTCCCATGTTTCAGTGGTTGGCAGAATCCCTTTTCTTGTGCCATAGATCTGAGAGCTGCATTTGGTTTTGGCTGGCTGGTGGACAGATGGATGCTTGCCGTCTCCTGCCACGTGCACTCTCCTTAAGCAGGTCACAGCATGCTACTCGCTATTTGAAGGTGAAGGAGAACCATGAGACTGCTAGCAAGATGGATGCTTCGCCAACACTCTTTTGAAAGTCCTGGTTAGAATCAGGCAAGTCATGGGTCTCTTGCATACTTAGGGGGTAGGGGGATGACACACGAGGGTACGGACGACAGAAGTAGGGAATGACTGGGTTATCTGAGGCTCTTTGCAGTACCACTTCTAAAGTTGCTTTGCAGAGGAATGTGTTTGACCCTACATAGTGGCCTCCTGCTCATTGAGAAATGCTTTATAATCTGGAATGGTCTTACAACATTACATCTGGAGGATTGGGAGTTTGAAACCAGCCTGTCCTGAAATGAAAATGCAAAGAAAAACTAGAAACCACAACAAAAGAAAATATTTTTAGAGACTCACCTCTAGTTTTCCTTTTCAACCATATACAATAATGTAATTGGATACTGAACCACTGTTGTGTGCTAAGTTTTCTTTGTTGATACTGTTGAGGAAGATGAGATGCTATTAATCGTCCAGGTGTTCTTCTAGGTGACCTCCACTAGCCAGTGCTCTTATCAGCCTTTGGTTAAACTATTGTTCCAGGCACTGCAGAAGACAGGAGGGTGGATGCTTATGGTTTGAGGATAACAGACTCTGCTGGGAGGAAACAGTGCTGCTGAGGTGAATGTCTTCTGTCCCATAGCACAGCCCTTCCTCAGCCTCTGAAAAATCTCTCACACAAGACAGGGCCTCCCGGAACTCAGGCTTCCCTTGAACCTGCTGTATAGCTCAGGATGACCTTAAACTTCAAATACTCTTGCCTCTACCTTTCCAGTGGTAGTTTTGTGGGGTTTTGTTTGTTTGGGGTTTTTTTGTTTTGTTTTTGTTTGTTTTGTTTTGTTTTGTTTTTTGAAACAGGGTCTCTCTGTGGCTTTGGAGGCTGTCCTGGAACAAGCTCTTGTAGATCAGGCTGACCTCAAACTCAGAGATCTGCCTTCCAGTGGTAGTTTTTAAAGGCATATGCTTAGTTTTAGAGGGTACTGAGTATTAAACCCATGGGACCACATCTCTAGCATTTCCCTTAACTTTGTAAGCAGCACCTCTGTCCTTCTGAGCCTTTTGGCTAAGATCGAGTGTAAACAGCACATTTCTCCATCCTTCATTCATCTTAACTCTCCTAACATCACCTCAGCCCAGTCTTGGTCTCCTCATCCACCCACTTCTATTCTTCAATTCCTGAACTGTCTTTCCTTGGCAGTAGCCATATGGATAAGCTGTCATCTTTTACCAGTGACCGCCTCAGACCCTCCCCCCGGCTGCTGCTTCCTTGTGGGAGCCACCATCTTTCTGAGATGTACTTGGTAACTTTTCTTGCTGTTCCAGTACTGCCCTTTGGCATGCCAGGTCGTCTTTAGGCTCTAACCCTGAATCCAGTTTTTTGTTTTGTTTTTGGGGTTTTTTTTTTGTTGTTTTGTTTTTTTGTTTGTTTTTTATTCTTTTTTGTTTATTTTTAGAGCCCTTACCCATTCTAATTTTTAGACCTCTTAGGACATTTTGATATTATCCTTTAGTTCCTCCTCCTCCTCTTCAAAATTTGTTTTAAGAGATGAATTAATATAAAAAATATTAAAATTTCTTCTTGGGTGTGGCAAAAAGCTATGCAAGGTAGAGTTATAAATGATGGATCTAGGAAAAGTTGACTTAGACTCTTCAAGTGATGTCTCCATTTCTCTCCATCACATAGCCCCCTCTACTCTGAGGCTCATAGTGCGCCTTCTGAAACAGTCTAGGTTTGATCCCTGTGACCTGCAGTGTTGAGCCTCTGAGTCTCGGCCTTTGGGTGGATGTAATAACAGCACCATCATCTTGAGAATTAAACAAGTAGTAGATGAAACACCTACAGGCTTCTCCTTTAACGTGTCCATTTGTTCACCATACGATGCTGTTGCTTTCCTAGGTCATCTCTTCCTTCCTACTGCAGGCATTAGGCTGCCCTGCCTGTTTGCTCTGCCTCTGCATGCCTTTGCACTTAACCCTCTTCTCAGAGTGCCCTTTCCTTCGGCAGCACCCTTAGCCACCTCCAGGGACTGATTGCTTCCTGTTCCGCCTGCCTACAACATGAACTGTATTTGCAATGGTGTCTGCACCCTAAAGGTAAGCTGGAGAAGCAGTGACTGTCTCTTTGCATCCCCATGTCTGTGACTGCCTAGCAGCTTTTCATTTATAGCCTAAAGAGGATAGTTATAGTCAGATGGTAGAGGATAGGGATACAGGACAGCTATTTCCTTTTCAGGGTGCAAATTTCCAGGTTACAAAGGAGATAGTAGTAAATGGAGAAGGTATGTCAAAACCTTACTCTGTTCACTTGAATTTTTTTTTCTTTTGAGTAAGAGTCTCACTGTGTTTCCCTAACTAGCCTGAAATTTTCTGTATAAACCTACGTAGCCTCAAATTCACAGAAATCCACCTGCCTCTGCCTCCCAAGTGCTGGCATTAAAGGCATGCACACACCCAGCTCTCAAAAACTGGATTTTAAAGGCAAGGTGCTCTCTGCTCCCCTCAGCCTTCTGCAATGGACTTTCAGCAGGCCCTCCCAGATGCAGAATAAGCCAACTGTAACTCTTTACCTCTTTATAAATTGATTTCAGTCTCAGGTATTCTAGTACAGCAATACAAAACATACTAACATACCTAAGTTCTAAATTTTAGCACTAATGTATATAAATAAAATGTTTATTTTAATGTAAAAAAGATACTGTAATAAGTAGAAAAATATACCAGGTCCACTGCCAATCTTTTGAGTAAAGTTTAAACCTTAGATCTAGCTCAGGTTTTGCTGAAAAAAATTGACATGCTGGTAATTTTTTCTTCAGTTCCCAATGATTAAAATACAACAGCGCAGCTCTGCACCATGGCAGAGGACTGTAAGACAACCAGTAATATAAAGGGGATCTGAACTAACCATACTGAAATATGTTTCTTACAAACAATAAGAACCATCCCTACATAACTACCCCGTTTCTCTAGTGTTCCAAAACTCAAACTACAAATTAAACCCACTGTAATGTTCTAGTAGATGCAAATTACTGCCATTAAAAATTTTCAAATTTTCAGGTGGTGGTGCACTCCTTTATTTCCAGCACTCCGGAGGCAGAGGCAGGTGGATCTCTGTTGAGCCTGAGGCCAGCTTGGTCTGCAGAGTGAGTTCCACAAGATTCTCCAAAGCTACACAGAGAAACCCTGTCTTGAAAAACATTTTTTTTCAAATGTTATGTTTATGGTTGTTTCACCTACATGTACGTCTGTGCACCATGTGTGAGCAGGTCCCGAGGAGACCAGAAGAGGGATCCAAAGCCCCTGGAGAACTGGAGCTACAGGTGGTTGTGAGCCTCTGTGTGGGCACTGGGAGTTTAACCCAGGTCTTTTGTTAGTACAGTCAGTGCTCTTAACCACAGAGCCATATCTCCAGCTTCTGTCTTTTTGTTTTTTAATTTCCATTTTTAAAACATTAAGTCACATGGGTCTAAGGTTTCTTTTAATATTTTTAATCTTGTTATTAAGTCTTTAAGTCTTTCTAGAAACTGTCATTTCTGGAAGACATTTAACTTTTTCAGGCTAATTGCTATACTGTGTTTATCACTGATATCCATATTTTACCAAAAGTATAGCGTAAGTTTTATACATGTGTACTCTGTTTACATCATTTCCCCTCCTCCCTCCAATCCTCCAACCCCCTCCCATACTCTACCCCCTGCTCACATTTAAATTCATGGCTCTCTAATTGTTTTACATACATGGATATATGAATAAGTATATAATATAGTGTGAGTATATACAACCTGTTGAATCCATTTACTGTTGTTCAGTATATATGTCTTTCTGGCAGATGACTTGGCATTGGATAACCAATTAGGTAGCTGTCATTCCCTGAAGAAGACTGTTTCTTCTCTCTCAGTGGTCATAAATTCCTTGTAGCTCTCTGTCTAGTGGTGGGATTTCTCCCATCCACCTTGCGATGCCAACTGGTGGTTGTCATTCTTCTGGTATTTCTTTAAGCAGTCATATTGTTGAGAGTTTATCTGTGCAACTTCCCTATCATACATAGACAATATCATCTCACAGCAGGTGTCTCAGCTCCTATCCTCCTTTCCTATTGGCCAACAGTGCTTTATTCATTAACCAGGACGAGAAACATATACAGAATGGCATCTCCCATCACTCTCTGCTGTGTTCCCTGAGCTCTAGGTGTAGGGGTTGTGTTATGTCTGTTAGGGCTCCGTACCCCATGCTCAGTTGTCCTCTGCATTTTGACCGTTCGTGGCCTTCTGTAATGGAAATTACTACAAGAAGCAGTGTGTTGAATGAGGGGTGAGATCTACACTTAACTGTGGATTTAAGATGTGTATGGAGAATGCAGTTAAAAATTATACCGGTGTGTCTGTTTGAATGTAGTTGGCTCCCTTAAGCTCATAGGACTGTTAAACAGAGACCCTGTCTCAAAACACAAAAACAGAGCAGAACAAAAAGATTGTGCTGCTCCCTGTTAGCTCTCTGCTTGTGGATGAGGAAGTAAACTCTCAGCGACTCCTCCAGCACCACCACCTGCCTTGTGCTGCTGTGCTCCCTGCACCATAGTCTAACCCTTTGAAACGTAAATCCAACTAAGTGCTTTTTCTGATAAGTCTCTTTGGTCATGGTGTCTTATCATGGTAATAGAAAACTAATATGGTAAGAAAAAATGTGTGTATTCAGTGCCCATTCAAGTGATCACTAATCTTCCACAGCACTAACCTGTGATGTGTATACCTTATTAGAAAGTGGACTATGGCTGTTTGAATAGGAGTGGCCCCCATATACTCGTGTGCCTGAATGCTTGGTCATAGGGAATGGCACTATTAGAAGGTGTGACCTTGTTTGGAGGAAGTCTGTCACCATAGGGTCAGTCTTTGAGGGTTCAAATGTTCAAGCTATGCCCAGTATGGCACACAGTCTCTCTCTGCTGCCTGCAGATCAGATGCAGAACTCCCTGCTCCTTCTCCAGCACACCGCCATGCTTCTGGCCATGCCAACAGTGGACTAAATCTCTGAAACTGTAAGTCAGACCCAATTAAATATTTTCCTTTATGAGAGTTGCCATGGTCATGGTGCCTCTTCACAGCAATAAAACCTAAACTAAGCCATGGGCCACCTTTATACTTCCCCCATTCATTTGTTTGCTTTTTCTCAGCTTAGTCAGCAGAAAGAAGTAAAACTTCAGTATCATTAAATATGTATTAGCTTCATCGACCTACCCTAAAATTGAAGTTTGGCAGATTTATATTGTGGCTAATCCAATTGGTAATCCAACATTTTAAATTCCTTTGGCAAGTTCAGACTCCTCCAGGTTTGTTTAGAGTGCAAATTTAAAATATATATGCGTACTCAAATGAATACTATTCATGTCTGACAACTAAAATAATATATATAGTCTATTTGTATATTTAAAAACCAAGGCTGGAGGGGCAGCTCAGTTCTAAAGGTACAGAAACAAAACAGGCCTTGCTTCAATAAGGTGGAGATAACTACCCCCTGAAAGCTGACCCCTGATCTCTGCACACATGCTATGGCACATGCACACGCAGACATACACATACCATTTTTAATATATGATTTAATATAGGATATGGGTCTAACTTAATCATCAGTATACTGAAAACTGTTCACTAACTCCATATTATTAAAAATATTTTAATTGTGTAAGCACATATCAACAACCTAAATGGTTTGGGAATCTGTTCAGATTTTTCCACACACACCATGACCTAGAGATGGCCTCCAGAGGGCGCTGTTGCATTCAGCGGTGCTGCTTGGCTGGTGCTTCAGACGTTTCTTCCCACCTCAATCCCGGGACCACAGCAGGGAGGGTACAGTAAGTACAGAATACTTGCCCAAATCACCCCTTCACCCCACCTCACAGCCACTTTCTCAGGCAGCCTCCGTTCGTGCTTGCTTCATCCCTGAGCCCCCCATCTGGCACCTTACCACTCATGCACCACTCAGGTTCAGATAGAAGATGCCAAGATACTCCCGTGAAATTTTCCAATGAAACTCGGGCTGTTCTGGCTTCAATTCAGAGTCTGAGTCCCCACTGCAGGCAGAGCAGGGAGAGCTAATTCTCCAATCTCACCATCAGGGTGCAGCAGGGAGCACAGTCATACATGTTTTCAGAGGACACAAGGTAGTGATTTGGTTGTTACTTCCTACCGCGCGCACGGATGCACGCACACGCGCAGGCATACACACACACACACACAGGAACTCACACACACTAATGCCCTCACCTCACCCCAGCTCACCCCTCTCCCACGGCTCTTCGGGACAAACCAAAGGGATTAACACATCCACTTACTGCAGCATTTACAAAAGTAAATGTGACTATCTCGTTCACATACAATAAGCTTTTAGAATGTGCTTATGGGAGAGCTGACAGAAACACACAAATGATGCTACTTATGCAACCAGAGAACCCTTCAAATGTTCTCTGAAATCTGCTATCCCACCCAAACTTGCAGACTTTGAGCTTTACCCCCCCCCCCCATACGTAATTATAAGTTCTAGGATAGAGCCCTTATATGCAGGAATTTTAAAAGTTCCTTTGAGAAAGATCCCTCACCTGTTGCTCAAAAAGACCCATCTGAAGGTTAGAGTTTTTAAACGAATTTCAAGTAAAAAGAGATCCTTTTAGTTTGTCTTATATGCCATCTTCTTCCTAAATTTATATCCAAGAGTTCCCCTTAAAAACCTGGTGCTGAAAGGGTTAATCCCAGCACTCTGGAGGCAGAGGCAGGAATGGATGGCTATACTTATGTCAGTTTTATTACAACTGTATTAATACATCTGCCTATCTGAAATGTTTGGCCGTGTCAAGATATCATATAGTCCTGCATCACAACCTCTGTGTTCCTAGATAGATATTTCCCTTTCTGAAGTTTCTTTTTTTAATGGTTATTTATTTATTTATTTATTTATTTATTTATGTGCTTTGGTGTTTTGCATGTGTGTCTGTGTGAGGGAGTCAGATCCCCTGCAACTCAAGTTAGAGACAGTTGTGAGCTTCCATGTGGTTGCTAGGAATTGAATTCGAATCCTTTGGAAGAGCAGCCAGTGCTCTTAACTGCTGAGCCATCTCTCCAGTCCTGCTTTCTGGAAGCACATCTGTTTTAAACATGAAATTCTAGGGTTTCTGGATGCTTCACAGTAGGAGCTCCTGAAGAAAACAAATGATCAATCACAATTTAACATTCTAGTTTATGCTCTAAAATGAGTGCTTTCTAGGCTCAAAAGCACAGCTAGAAATTTTAACAAAAATCCCAGGAATTCCCCCAGGAAAGCTGGTGCCAGAAATACCAAAGTAAACTGGCAGAAAACATTGATTTACAACCTGTTTTTGTGGGGATGTACATTTTCATAATTTTGATATGAAATCAATACTATCAAGGAACTAAAAGCCTCAGTGATACATATTATATAAATGTGTCAGACAGTAGCATTTTCAATTTAGGAATGGTAAACTTTTAAACCTTAATATTTGAAATGGGCCTCAAATTACATTGCTCCAAAATGCAATAATGTAGTTTTTTTTTTTTCCCACTCAGAAATTTTCTGTTGCTAGCTGTAATTAAATTTAAAATTAATATTTGGATGGCAAGCCTACAACATTTGAAGAGTGACAGGTTTAAACAGTGTAATTTTGACCTGAAGGAACAAGGTATTCCAATAGCAACACAAACATGCCATATATTACTCTTTAATTAAAGTTTTGTTTTACAATATGTTCTTGTCAGAGGGATATTTCCAGATGTTTAAGTGTAATAGAAAGCATCTTTAAACAACGTACCATTGGAAGAAAGAGTTTCAGAAAAAGTCCTATCCTTTATATGGTATAACACATACCACCCAAACCTCCAATCCCATCCTGGGGTGTGCTTTCCACGTGAGCCTACTGTGCTTAGTTGGGCTGGCACTCGTCTGTCATGGAGGGTGAAGCTCACCACAAAGAGTCTAATCAGAATGATGGCAGAACATTATCATTTGGGAGCTAATCCTAGATCCAACATTCTAGAAGGTCTACATGGTGAACTACAGAACTACAATCAGGTGTGTGTGTGGGGGGGGGGGGTGATCAGCTAAGGCTAAATGTGCCTGCTTGTCCGCCACTTCTCACAAAGCAAGCTTAGCCTGGGCCAAGGACACTACTCTTCCCATCAAACCTCATCTGGTTCTGACCAGCAAGATGTTCCCAAAGGAGATAGAATCAAGTGCCTAGAACCGATCCCAGGGCAAGGACAGGATTAAGGTGCTAAATTCAAGTACTCCCTGAATACCACAGCAATTTCTGGTGGCCCCATAAGTTTAAGCTATGGTTTCTGGAAAGGAACCTCTCATTAACTGTTTCCTTCTTTCAGCCTAAGGAAAACCAAGATTCCTCCAAGGTTTCTTTAAAGACAATACAAACCTGAACTTGCTTGTAGGGTGAAAAATACAGGAATTCCCCCAAAAACCAAAGTACATCACTGACAATGCAGAACTTGAATTCCCTGTGTGTAGCCCCCAAGTTCCCAAGACCTCACTCTCCATCTCATTTCTCAGTGTGATTATACATAATACTGCATTTTTGTAACGGCCAAGCTACCCTGCATGACCACCACACTTACTCTTGTCCTAGTCATCTTACATACTCATAGCCCTTCTCTTTGAAATAGTGTCCACTATTGTTGTTTAAAATAGAAAGCCACATATATGAAATTCATTTTAACAAAAAAAAGTGCTTAAAACCATTCTATGCAATTGCTTTCTTCATTTTCAACCAATAAAATCAAACTCATTTATGCCTATTAATAATACTGAAAAAAATAGTGAATCTGATTCTTTGATTTTTTTTTTTTAAAAAATAATGTGCCTTTATACCCAGCTTCACATTAACTGACTCAGTATCATAACAAATTGAGCTCTTATTTGGAAAGGTACAAATATATAGAACTTTTCCGATAAAAAACATTCTGAATATAAAAATGCTTTCTACGTTTCAAAATAACACTTTCAGATTTTCTTTAGTTTTGGATTTGGTGAATAAACAACGTAGCTCCCCGTGGGTTTTGTTCTTAAACAAAAGCTTATAATGTTTTTAAATACAGTTACTCAAGAACCACTCAGTCTGTGGCTCATCCCACATAAAAGTTCAGCTTCTAGCTAAAAACAAAACAAAACAAAAAAAACCCCTATTTACTCATAAAATTACATTATCAAAAACTAGCTTAAGATAGAAATCTGTGTGCCTTAATGACTGCCCAGTGCAGCTTCAGCAAGACAGAGAACCGTCTAGAAAATACAGACTCCACAATGTGTGTGTGAGTGCTGCGAACTGGGCAGGTGAGGCCAGGGCACCAGGCTGTCGTCCTCAGCCTGCCCGGGTCCACACCCTCCTCCGCCTTGTGCTTAGGATGCTTCTGCTCTTCATACCACGCCTCCCATTCAGGGTGTCCACATGGAGCTGCTGGGAACAAGATAGGAGCCGCGCAGGAACTTCTTCTTTTTCTGTAAGCTGTAAACACTTCACATGATTGGGTCCCCATAAAAAGGTGTGGGAGCTTAAATGAGCCTGGAGCTTTTGAGGAACTGAATGAGAACTCTGTACACGAACGTATACTGGCCAAGCGTCTGCACCAGCATCATTCTCTGTTGTCTCAGCATGTCCAGCACTCTGGGGATGTCCAGCACCTAGGGAGAGAAACAGTGATGAAGAGAACATTCCAGAGGGGGAAGCACTGCAAAGGCTGTCGCCCTCGCAGAGATTCGCCTAAGAGACAGACAGGCAGCCCCTGTCTACTTGAGCATCTTCAGTGATAATCTCAGATCTGATTTGGTTTAGCTACGAACAAAATGTCCATGTGGATTATTTCTTCAACAGGCCCTGGTTGCAGCATACTGACTTGTAAATCAGATACATGTCAATCATCTCACAGATTCTCAGATTCAACACACACAGTGTGCTAGGCGCTGCCAGGATCTAAGTCAACGTTTCCCACCCAGGCCACTGGCCGGCCCTAATCACTAGATGTGTTAAGTATTACAGGAAACACTAGATAAAACACAACAGCCTTCCATATTATGTGACATCTTTAATACAACAGTCAGAGCCTCTAGGACGGAGCCTTTTACAAACTACACTTAACATCTACCTCGTGGCTACCATTGTCCTAGGAAATGTGTTAGGAAAGATACTGAGGCACTGTGCCAGCTCCTTCCCGGCCATTAACTCTCCTCAAAAAGAACACAGAGCTTAACATAAGTCATCACCTCATTGTGCTCCAGACAGGCAATCATGATCTCTGACAAAATGACGACGCCCGTTCTTCCTACGCCAGCACTGCAATGCACCAACAGTGGAGGGTTGGGGCTTTGGGGTTCACTAGTGCTGTTTGTATGACGTCGAACAGACTGGATCTCTTCAAGGTATGCTGTGAAAAGAAAAATTAGCGAAATACAGAAGTCCTGAGACAATGGCAATAAAAAGCCAACAACCACCTCTTAGTTTTTCCCACTGAGAAGACTGCAGATAAGGAGCACTGGGCACCAAGGGACCGGGGTCAGCTATGGTGACTGCAGGCAAGTCGGTGGCTCAGCCCAAACTAGATGGAAGAGACAGACATGTGAGTTAGCTGTGGCATTCTACTCATGACTAGCCATCTCTTCCTTAAGCTGGCAAAGACTGAGTTCAATCCCCAGGAAGAACGTAGTGGAAATAGAGAACAAACTCTACCTCCACACACATGATGTGGCACACACACACACACACACACACACACACACACACACACAAACCCATCTTATGTTAAGACCCCTCAGTTTAAAACAAGTCCAAAGCTTCTGTGGGACAACAGAGACAGACTATTTTAGAAACCTAAGACAAAGGAAGTTGCCTGTAAACAGACACTTACATAAAAATCCCTTGAGGTCTTCAGGACAGCCGTGCTCAGGCCAGTCTGTGTACTGGAGATGCCACACTGTCCTCTCCTGCCCTGTAAGAAGGTGCTTCATCTTCAAACCTGTAGTGGCATAGCAGCCTGAGTCCGTGCGGAAGCGAGTTGTGATCTTAAACCTTCCATAGGTGACGGTGTTGTGCCTTGAGCCAAGCCTTGGCCAATACCTGAAGCTCTTCTCCCTGCCACCCTCCTGTTAAAGACAGGCATAATTCAGTAGCAGCTCAAGAGTAAGCCAAGCGCGTTCTTCACTCAAGGCTTCCACAGGCCACCATCTCACCCTGCTTTTCTCAAAAGGTCAACACTATGGGTAGTTAACATTAACAGTTCTTTGGAGACTCAGGAAAAAAAAAAAAAACTCAACTGAGAATAATGAGCACTTACCTCTTCCGCTGTCACCATTGCTATGATTGCGATTCCTTGTTCCCACACCATCTGCCAAAAGTCCTGGCAGGTATTTTGTAATGGGCCTTGTGTGGCAATATAATCCCATTCAATTCCACTGACAGAGACCTACAATCAGAGGTTAAAATCTTAGTATGGGCATGGAATATATGTGCATAGCTGTTGTTTCCTGGTAACACTAGGCTATTCAGCAGAGGAAGGACAACTGACATCTTTATAAACATATGCACCATGAGTTCATATGACATCCATGTGATTTGGAGCAATCTGCTCCAATATTTTCAGTTTTTAGCTACAAAATAAAATAATTGCCCAGCCCATAGGGTTGTGAGGACATCTGATATATACAGTAACAAGTACTAAGTAAATGGCTCCTCCTGCTGTGATGCTAACACCAACATCACAGTATCCCAAATCACAAACAATTTGCCATGATGAAATATTAAATATGCTTGGAAAAGTATCGGCAAGTGAATCAAAACCTACACTAATGCCAGATTTCTCTGAGAAAAGAACTATCTTCCACTGAGAATGGCCTCCATCCCGAACTGAGTCAAGATCTCCCCCATAAGGCCCATGTTTCCACTTAGCATTTAATGCCCTCCAGTGCTAACATAACAAGCAGTCACTGGCTCGACAGCCAGGAAATTGGGGCTAAACTCTGTTCTACCAGTAACTGCTGACAACTATTTCTCCTGGTGCCCATTAAATGTTCGAGCCTGTGCCAAGCCCTGTTCCACGCACCCTCCCTCTAAGGCTGCCAGGCCTCAGCACCAACTCTGAGCCCTGTCACTGGGCGCCCTGTCACTGGGCGCCCTGTCACTGGGCTCCCTGTCACTGGGCTCCCTGTCACTGGGCTCCCTGTCACTGGGCGCCCTGTCTCTGGGCTCCCTGTCACTGGGCTCCCTGTCACTCTGGGCTCCCTGTCACTGGGCTCCCTGTCACTGGGCGCCCTGTCACTGGGCGCCCTGTCACTGGGCTCCCTGTCACTGGGCTCCCTGTCACTGGGCTCCCTGTCACTGGGCGCCCTGTCACTGGGCTCCCTGTCACTGGGCTCCCTGTCACTCTGGGCTCCCTGTCACTGGGCTCCCTGTCACTGGGCGCCCTGTCACTGGGCGCCCTGTCACTGGGCTCCCTGTCACTTTGGGCTCCCTGTCACTGGGCTCCCTGTCACTGGGCTCCCTGTCACTGGGCGCCCTGTCACTGGGCTCCCTGTCACTGGGCTCCCTGTCAGCAGCAGCATGTGGATGGGCACAGGTTGTCATAGCAGTTGGTTAAGTACAAGTCCCACAACTGGTGAGAGATCTAGGAGCTGACTTAGTCTGCCCAGTTTTGAAATTCATATCCTTTCCATGACCCCTCAAGTTGGACCTGAAGATTTTGAAACATCACTACAAAAAAAAAAAAAAAATCACAATGTCATTCCATTTTTATCCATCCAGTCGTAGGAGATGGGATGAGTTATTCAAAAGGTATGTTGGGTTTTTAAATATACAATACCCATATAAAAAGCAATGTACATGCGCTGATTCCTCAAAACCATTAAACACACCTTAAATCCCAGCCCCTGGGAGGCAGAGGCTGCTCTGTATGATTTTGAGGCCAACCTTAACTATATAAGAAGCCGAGGAGATATAGTGAGACCTTGTGTCAAAAACCAAAAATAACTAACTAAATAACTAAACAAAAGCCATTAAGCAACACATATGGTTGCCAAGTCTTTACAAATCCTTGGAGGTCCGATTGCTATCAAATACGACTTGCAAGCTGAAGAAATCTGGGAAAGAAAAGCACACACCTGACTATAGGCACAACTCAGTCCCTGTAAGGGGTGTTCTCCTTTCTGCAATAGAGAATCCCAGCTAGCTGGCATGAGATGGCTGCTCTGTGCAGCTGCCTCCCAGTGTAGCAAGCTTAGCATCACCCAGTTCATCAGCATCAGCCTGTCCCAGGGAGTGCTTCTTAAAAGAACAGAGTGACACCAGACATCACAAGAAGACAGGACACATGGCATCCTCCTAAGCAAAAGCTCATGTGAGTGTCCTCCAAAGTCCCTGCAGCTCATTGCTCCAGTGTCTGCTGAGCCCAATGACCTGGGTTTGATTGCCATGGCTGGGGAAAGGGAGAACACAGAAAGCAAACTAGGCGCATTTGTTACATACAAAGCCCACAGTTATGCGATGGAGGAAAACCCGTGATTCAGATTCAGCTGAGAATCAACAAGCCCCCAAAGAGTCTTCAGATTCAGGAAAAGGTTCTACTGGCAGACAGATGGAACATCCCAACTCTGGGCAACAATAAGGATGCAGAATGGCTACCACGTGGAGAGTGGCTGTGTCTAGATTCTCCAGCCTAATAACATAATTGTCATAGCCTAAAAACATAAACGGATGTTTTCACAATACAGATCTCAGTGCAAATTTTAGCGTTCCCACAAGTCAGCCCGGGACTGCAGTGCTGGTGATTACCCGAATGCTCCTCTCACCTTAATGTGTGAGGCGTTGATGTAGCCCGTGTTGTTCTCCTTGGTTGGTACCAACTCTACCCTCGCATCATCATAGGGAAGCACATCTTGGAACCGATTTCTTTCTGCATTCTCAGGGAGCCGGGCTGTTGCGCACTCCCCATCAACTAGTCGTTTTTTAAGAATCCTTTCATATTCGGTAAAGACCGTTCCTTGCTCTAAGCGCTGTTCCAGAATCTTACACTATAAAACAGGACCCGTGTGATGAGTAACGGTCACATGGCATAGCTGAGTGTACTTCTGAAATCTTGTTTTCTGCTTCAAGGTCTAGCATTTTCAAATATGAAGGATTCTACATGAAATTGAACCAACACGTTTACAAGTTATGAAAATTAGAACAAAAGACATAATAGTGTTGTTGGCAAGATGTAGAATGCAAAATTCAGTTAGAAGTTGAAAGCGAGCCTAAGGCAGTTTGTTAGGCTTGAGGTCTAAACCTATGGTCAGCTTTGTGATCTCTAAGAAACGGAATTCTCCTAGACTAGGAAAACAGTCCAGAATTTGTGAGCAAATGCTCTTTACAAGAGATGTATATAAGATACTGAGAGCAGCCCTAAATCCGGAGATCCGCCTTCAGATGCGGTTATAAAGAAATGAATGCCTGTCTTATTTTAAAACAATAAAATCTCAATTCAGTATTTATCTCATTTTAATTTAAAAACAAGATGATTTTCAACACAACAAAATGTCTGCTTTCTTTTCTATGTATCCGGTTACAGTCCTTACTCAGAAGAAATAAAACAATCAAGAACTTTCAGAAACAAAAAGCTCAATAATCACATTGGAGCCTGAAATTACTTAAGACATTGAAACCACACATTCACTCCAACTGTGACCTGATTCACGAACATTCATTTGTGACTATAAATTAGGTCAGAAAATTGGCCAAAATTTCACGAGGGCACTTTGGAGTTGCCTCCAAGATCACCCCCTCTGAGGAAGCGGAGAGCCCGGGCACCCTGCGCGCTCACCCTTTCGTCATTCGTGGCCCTGGTGGACACTTCCTTCGCTTCATCAGGGAGTGGCAGTCGGGACAGGGAGAGTCCATTGAGGGCAGCCAGCTTGAGGGGACCGATCTTTTTTGCATCTGCTCGAGTCTTTTTCATTCCCTGTAAGAAAATATTTACACTCATAGAGAGACACAATCCTTTCAGGGGCAATGGCGACGGGCTAAAGAGGACACAGGCAGACCTCTGGCTGCTAGCACCCAAGGAGAGAGACTCCTTCCCACACGTGTGCTTAACAGCTTTAAAAGGGAGAAGACATTCCTTTCAAGGCCGGTGTTCTGATAAGGCCTCCAGATAGAAGGCCTTCACTCCAATTGGTTACAAGACTCTGTTGCAATGAAAGGTGAGGCTGTAGGCCGGCAACATTCTTATAGGACTACCCAACTTCAATGTGACACCACACAAAACAGAAAAACAAGCTATCGGTGGCTCCTAGTCGCCTTTTTCTTTTATTTTGAGACAGGGTCTCACTATGTAGCCTTGGCTGGGTTGGTCTCAAAGTCACAGCCATCCATCCCCCAGTCTCTGCCTCCTGAGTGCTGAGATAAAATGCATGCACCATCATGCCTGGCAGCCTTTATTATTTTTAAAAGAGACAAACAAAACTTGAAATCATTCAGGACAGAGAGAGAGAGAGAGAGAGAGAGAGAGAGAGAGAGAGGGAGGGAGAGAGAGAGAGAGGGAGGGAGAGAGAGGGAGAGAGGGAGAGAGGGAGAGAGGGAGGAGAGAGAGGGGGGAGAGAGAGAGAGGGGGAGAGAGGGAGAGAGGGAGAGAGAGAGAGAGAGAGAGAGAGAGAGAGATGTAAATTGTTTTCACATATTCCACTACACAGCCCTGAAGAACAATGTGACCTGGGCTGTCCCCAAATGGCCACATTTCTAAATCACAGAATAAACACAGCTGAAAACTCCACAAGAAAGCCAGAGTGGAAGGGAAGCATTAACCAAACCCTGTCCTGTGAAAATGGGGGTTTCCCAAAGTTCTCAAGCCCGGTGACTTTCCCCTCTCCAGCGGATAAACCCGAGAGCAAGTCTCCTTAGCCATTCTGTGCTTACAAAAAGCCCCAAGACTCAAAGAAATGGTTTCCCTGGTTCTCACAAGGAAACCAGCTTAGTCCAGCTCTATCAGCCTAAAAATGCCACGACACCAGGACTGAAATCACAGAGCAGGAACAAAGAGTAGACATTTTGGCGAGGAAGAAAATGCTGTACTGTAACTGGAGAATATGTGTGGCGTGGACACATATGTGGCAGCTACAACAGGGCCCTGGGTATCTCCTGTCCTGTTCTGTCCCTGTGAGACAAAAGTCTTCTCACTGAACCCAGTCTGACTGCCCTGAAATCTACTGCACTCTACCTTAATGCCACGGTGCGGGCGTTAAGACACCCACAGCCATGATTAATTTCTATATGGGTGCTGGGGATTTGAACTCTGGTCCCCTTGACTGCACAGCAAGCAGTCATACCCCATGAGCCACCTGTCGAGCCCATAGAATATTTTGTAACTTCATATCGTTTATGAGCTTCCCACATAATGCAATTCAGACTTAGAATGGGCAGAATCCTGGGTTAAAGCCCAGCATGCAATTAGCTAACATCCTTCAGGTAAATCATCTTTGTCCTCTAAGCCTCACCTGCACAGAAAAATAGAAAGGGAGCACACAGGGAGGGCTCAACATAGACTGACCCAGAGACTCGATGTCCTGAATTTAGTCTTCCCAAGGGGAAGAAAAGGCTCTACCTTCACTGGCCATTTCCACAGTGCAGACACTGTCACTGCCCGACTGCCTAAGGTGTCATCTGACTCACACCACTCCTAAAACCTCATTGTTAGCCAGTGTTGGATGACTCAGGGAACTCTGCCTGAAGTCCACATGCCCCCCACCGACAAGCCAGATGAGGGTGGCTCCAGACCAGCTGCAATATCCCTTACCAGGCCCATGGCTTTCAAATCTGCGGGGCTCCTTGGGTGAGAACCACACTGCACAGGCTCAAAGGATGCAACCAACAGAGAATCCTTACGTGAATGTGTGAGCACCCAAACCAGTCTGCCTTGCAGATAACAATCTTGTTCCTGGAGGTGGACGCCATGGGTGTGGAATTCTAAATGGGTCCTTCTTGTCTGCCATTTACTCACTGGGTTTTTATTTGTTTTTTTTTTTTTTTTTTTTTGTTTTGTTTTGTTTTTTTAACTTTAGCTCATGTAATGTCACTTTGACGGGGTCAGAGGCTTTAGCGGGGGTTAGCCTCTTCAATTCATGAGAAGTTGGGAAACTAAACTTGTGATGCAACATCACAGCCACAAGTAAATATTGACGGAGCACTTTTGATGTTTTGAAGGTTTATTTTAGACCCCCAGGAACTCCGAGGTCATCTCATTTACAAATGAGAAAACTGGGTCATGGAGGGACTTTTTGTTCAGGGTCACTGGCTGCCACTTTTACAAAGGAATCAGTGTCAAAACAACAAAAAACAAATCTTTCATTAAAATCAGTTACACGGAAGCATTTACCACAGAAGGTAGATCTCCATGCCTAACTGCAGTGAGACTTAGACGGACAGAGAAGAGATGACTGTCCCGGTTATGGACATGGAAGCTGGGATACGATGCATGAAGGGTCCTACACACTAATGAACTACAATACACAACGGGGCCTACACTCAGACCTAAGCAGTTCATCGCTAGGACCTATATGTTTCCTCTTAAGCACAGCCTCCATGCATATCCTCCGATAAAATCCTTGTGCAAAAAGGAAGAGGCTAAAGGACAGTCCAACTGTACAACTCCACTAAGAAAGTCTTAAATCATAATGAGAGAGAAAGTTTGTATTTTAAGAGAAGCAACTAGGGCTTGGAGAAATGGCTCAGTGGTTAAGAGCACTGCCTACTCTTTCAAAGGTCCTGAGTTCAATTCCCAGCAACCTGGTAGTGGTTTACAGCCATCTGTAATGAGACCTGGTACCCTCTTCTGACATGCAGGTGTACATACAGACAGGAACATTGTTTACATAATAAATCTTAAAAAGAGAGACAGAAAGAGAAGCAACTAGATCAAAGCCTTCAGTGTAAGCAGAACTTGCCAGATCCCATCAAAATACACTAAACTTCTCTTTGTTGAACAATTACAAAGGATGATGGCAAGTTGTGTACCTTGAAGAGGTCAGAGGTTGAGAGGTTTGGGCTCTTCAACTCTCAGTAGGTTAGAGAATTAAAGGGGACTGTCCTTAATGCAAGTGTCATTTGGAGTACTTGTGCTCCACGTAAAAACAGTGGGCAGTTCTTACTGCATTGTCATGGAAGCCCCCATCCATCCTGCTGGCTTGGGGACTCAGGCAGTGACTGTGGAAATCCCCACTCTGTCTCTGCCCTAATACTACTGCTCAGCCTGTCCCCTCTTCCATGGCTCAATGGCATTTGTACAGTCAGGAAATAAATAAAGCTGAACTTAAAATTCCATCCTTTAGCTAAGTAAACACTTTTTTTGTTTTGTTTTGTTTTGTTTTTGTTTTTTGAGACAGGGTTTCTCTGCGTTGTTTTGGAGGCTGTCCTGGAACTCGCTCTGTAGACCAGGCTGGTCTCAAACTCACAGAGATCTGTCTGCCTCTGCCTCCCGAGTGTGCCCTTCCTTGGGCTGTTTTCCTGTGTGTACTCATCTTTCATGAGCATTGTGATACTGAGTTTCCCAGCCTGCCTAGTAGCCTGCATCACTTTGAGGCCCTCATACGGATGGACACTTGCAGTAGCTCCTCAGGGGTCAAATGAACACATCCAGCCCTTTGACTTGGTTCCAGTGCAGGTCATGGGACAAGGAAGTGAGGGTCTCACAGGGCTGCATCCCTGAGCAATGTGGCATGGTGAGTATGAGCTGACACACTTCCAAACAGGGCCATGAATGCTTAGTCAAAGGCTGAGCGTTCAAAAATGATTCAGCACAAATAGCCAGGCTTTAGCAGGCGATGACTACTCAGTAAAATACTACACAGAGTATACCTGGACACAGAAGAAAACAGGCTGGTATCGGAAAAATAAGCTGAAAGTTCCAGGTCAGTCACTCTCTAGCTGTATGACCTTGGGAAAGCTACTTAATATTTCCGAGTCAGCTTCATTTGTTAAAGACTAACAACAATGGCTTATTATAAACTGAGTGTAGCTAAGTTGAATCTACACGTGGCAAACATTCTGAAAAAGACAGCTACAGAGAACAGCACTGGCCTCTTACATTTTGTTTTAAATGCGTAGGAAGTGCCTCCCATGCTTATTAGACTGAGGAGCAAAGAGCTGCCAGGCCTACCAGGGCCTTCTTTTGAATGCCCAGTTCACTCTCTCATTCTCATAAAGAGACAGGCTTTCCTGAGTCCAGAGTCCAGCCCATAGAGGTCATGGCCAAGATAGGCATGCTGAGTCCAGTCTCAAACCTTGACACCTACACAGACTTAGGGACACAGCCTCAGATGCCTCTCCCCAGACATCACTTGAACAAAAGAAAAAAAAAAAAAAAAAAAAAGAGAAACAAAACAACCCACAGTATTTTAATGTGTGGTTAGCAAAGCAATCTTTCCCTCAACACTATTAACTCGGTCTGTGGACTCTTACCACCCCCTTCCTTTGGCCTTTTCTCTGCACCCAACTTAACTCTAGCAAGACCACTGCCACCCTCCTCAGTCCACATAAACCCACACATTCCCCAAACAAGACAAAAACCAGAGCTAAGATAGAAAGAACTGTCAGTACGAGAGTAATTAAGGCTGAAAACACATGCTAAGGGGCCTATCCTCCATGTCTGAGGGCCTCTGCTCCTGCACCAGCTTACCCCGAGTGGTGGAAGTCCTTCCACGATGTTCTTCTTCCCAGAGAGGAGGTCTGACACTGGCCTTTTCTTGAGAGAGTCCCTCCTCACTCGGTACCTCCCTGAAGTGGTGAGGTCAGACTCGGACATGGAGGGGGTCAGCAACCCATCTCTCCGGGGCCGATGGGTCTCTGCCACCAGATGGACAGGGCTGATGTCCTTCACCCTCTTCTCAGGCTCCGGAAAATGGGACTTGGGCTCAAGAATATGCAGGGGGCCGGCGACTGCGGTCACCGGCGCACAGGGGTAGTTTCGCTGTTGCTCCTGAGAGTAAGGGGTGGCCAGGCGGGGCTCGGACACAGCTGAGACAGTGTGTGCTCTGCTGCTGTCCTCGTCCAAGTCCTCTTCCTCCTCGCTGCTGTGTATCAGCATGGTGGCATCAGAAAGGGACTTCTTATGGCTGTACCTGTCACTTTCCTGTTCTTCACTCTCCTCTTGCTTTGTTCTGTCAGAGAAGACACTGGACTGGGAGCCCACTGAGAAAGGCCGTGGAGCCACGTCTGCCGCTGAGGCTGACATGGTCCTCTCCTTGAGCCTCAGGCCTTCGAAGCCATGTGTGAGCCCCGCAATTTCAATACTGTTCCTCTTCTGTAGGTGGGCATGCCGAGCTGCCGTGAGGGGCTCGCTGACCTCCTGCAGAGAGTGCGCCACTGGCAAGCTGTCCTCCTGGAAGGTCTGCACCGAGTGGTGCACGCGCCTGGTGATGAGATCCGGATTGCTGCTGCTGATGTAGAGGTGGCGGGACAGGTCTGGGGTGCTGTTGGCAGGCCTCGGGTACGGGTATGGCGGGGGTGGCCGGTATACCTGGGTTCTCATTATGTTTGGAGCTGGGTAGTCCTGGGCCTGGAGCTGCACATTTGTCAGCTCCGGCACACTGACAGCGCCCACCACCGGTCGCCTCTCAGCAGGGTAGGGATACGGAGACTGACTGTGGAAACTGTAGTTCATGTTAAACGGGTAGTGAGCCGACTGGGGAGAGGTAAGGTGTGCATGCTCCCGAATCTCAGGCTGGCTGTAGACCAAGGCATCCGGCCTGCTGTAGGCGTAGGAACTGCCGATGTTGAGGTTCCTCAGCGAGTGGCTGTGCCTGTCTGCATGCACCATGCCTCTGTTGAGCTGCCTCATCACAGTCTCATAGTCCGGGGTGGGGCGGTAAGACGGAGGGATCAGGGCACTGTGTCGATGGGATGGGATGTAGTCCGGTCTCATGACATCACTGCCAGTGATACTTGGGTTGGAGGACATCGGGGAGGGCTGCAAGTAGGGCTGGGGGGTATTTAAGGAGTTTGTACTGTGTGCGCTGTAGACGCTGCCATTGCGGATGCGGCCACTGAGGTCCATTTGGGTTCTGTCCAAACTTGTCTGGGAGTGACAATAGAATCCATTCTTGTTGGGCACAAAGATGTTATCTGAGAAAGGAAAAGGTTTTAAAAGATTTTGAAAACATATTAAGTTGGACTCATTACTCCAGCCAAATACTGAGATAGGCCCAGAAAGAGCTTGTAAAGTTTCTTGCTAATATGACACATCTTCAGCCACGCTAAGTTGCCCTGGGAGCTTCAGCTTTCTTGCCTACAGGATGGGGTAGGTCTGCCTGCTTAAAGCTCGCCTACAGGATGGGGTAGGTCTGCCTGCTTAAAGCTCGCCTACAGGATGGGGTAGGTCTGCCTGCTTAAAGCTCGCCTACAGGATGGGGTAGGTCTGCCTGCTTAAAGCTCGCCTACAGGATGGGGTAGGCCTGCCTGCTTAAAGTGAGGTACTTAGGATCTGGTCAAATCTAAGTCCAATATGGAGAATATAGTAGTATCACAAACTAATCTTTTTTTTTTTTTTTTTTTTTTTTTTTTTTTCATTTTTTTTTCCTGAGTTAAAAACACATGCTTCACTATAGACAAGAAGCAGGTTTTCTGGAACACTGTGGAACTCAAAGAAGATATACTGTTGACCACCGAGCCACAGTGGCTAAGGATACAACCCTGAGATGCTGAGCTAGGGCAGGTACCAACCATCTGTGAACATTTCCTTCACTGGAATTGTAGGCTGTTGCATAGATTCTTCTTAAATGGAAAAGAAAAAAATCCACAAGAAAAGGTACAGGGCTTTCCTATCCAACAGGGAGGGGCACCAGAAGTTGTAACTCTGCCAAAGGCCCAGAAGCCAAGAAGAACCAGGCTAAGGCTGCTGTTGCCCCACCAAGCCTGCAGTTGAACAAGAAGTAGATCTAGGGCTGCAGGCTCAGGCTACTAATCCTTGTGTGCCTGCCTGGGCTACAAGAGGCCATCTTTCCTCCACTCCACCTACAGCTCACCTGAACTGCCTTGTGAGCCCCAATACCCCAACTATCATCATAGAGCCTTCATCCAGTAATTGATGGAACCAGACATACAGACCCACAACCAAGAACCAGGCCTAGCTCCAGAAATCTAGTCAAAGAGAGGGAGGGAAGAATATATAAGCAAGGGAGGTCAAGATCATGATGGAGAAATCTACAGAGGCAGCTGAACCAAGCTTGTGGAAACTCATGAAATCTACAGAAACAGCTGTGGAGACTCCAGGGGACTGAACTAGGCCCTCCATATGTGGGAGACAATTGTGATGCATGGACTATCAGAGGGGGGTCCCTGGCAGTAGGACCATGATACAAACCTGGTAAATGAGGCAGCTTATTGGAGCCCATTTCTTAGGGTGAGATGCCATGCTCAATGGCAATAGGACCATGATATAATCCCAGTATATGAGCTAACTTGCTTGTTGGAGCCCATTCCCCATGGTGAGATATTATGCTCATCCTTAAAGCATGAGAGAGGGGTCTGACCCTGCCCCAACCTACTGTGCCAGACTATGTTGATTCCTCATGGGGCCCTTACCCATGAGGAGGAGTGGACTGGGTGTGGGCTGCAGGGGGAGAGGCGAGGAGGGGATGGGAGGAGGAGGAGGGAGAATGGTGGTTGGAATGTAAAATAAAATTAAAAAATGAATGAAAATAACCTCCAGGAAGCATTGTTTGGGTAATTCAGAAGCGCCGTGGCGGTGTGGTGTCTGGTTACCCGCTGGGCACACTGCATTCCGGGGTGGGCACACTGCATTCTGGGGTGTGCACAGCTCTGAGAAAGCCAGTCCCGCAGCCTGTCTCCTGCTATACCCCACTGCTGCATCCTGTGCCCCCCATCTTCAGGACACTCAGCCATTGCTAAGTCTCTAGATTACTTTTTTTTTTTTTTTTTTTTTTTTTTTGGTCACAGATCCCTCACCCAGGTTAGACCAGTGTGACACCTCCCCACCTAGTGTCCCTGCCTCCAGGCTAAGAGCACACAGGACTATACCTCTTCATCCCATGGTGACAAGCACATACCTGTGACTAGTAACAGGAAGGAGAAAGCAAGCAGAGGGTTAAGAGCCAGTTTCTGAGGGCTCCTCCTCCCATTCCCCCAGTGCCTTGACCTACACCATTACAGAGAGAAAAGGCCCCTCCAGTCTGAGACCCTGATTCAGGCTGACATGGAACAGAGCCCACCTGCCAGAACACAATGGACAGGAACTCTGATGGAGAAGTAAAGCCACTGAAGGTTAAAACGTTGTTAGCACAGCAGAATCAGACCATCCTGACTGAACAGTAGCACGTGGACTGGAAGGCGGTTGGGATAAGGGTGCGGGGGGCGGGGGGTGCAGGTGTACAGGGAAAAGCCAGGATCCACTCAAATAGAACAAGCTAGAGAAAAGCAAGCTAACAGCAGGAAGCTAGATGAGAAGGGCCAGCTAAGGGAGTCTTGAGGAGCATGAACCTACAGGCTAGGGATGATACAGCTCATAGGATGCAACTGCCAGTGAAAGGTACGAAAAGATAAGAACCCATGTTGGACAAGAGCAAGGAGATATGGAAAAGATAGCGTGTGACATTACAGGTTATGGATATTTAACTGACTGGGTAAATTACATGCATCTTGGAACCCACATGACCAGAGAGTGACTTCATCATAATAAAGGACTAAAACAAATAGACTTGCAGCGTAAAGCAACGAGGTCAAATTTAATATCCAGTTCCCAGCAAGCGCTGAGAGTTGACACCAGTTCCCGAGAGACGACTATTGGCTAGCGAGCCTCCACCTGTCTTGACAGTGGGAAATGGGGTGTGGGTGGAACACGGGCACGATGACAAGATGGGAAATGAGACCCAAGTCACCCTTAGAGGAACTCCACATGAAGGAGCTGCTGTGGAAGCCCCCTCTGAGAAGGAAAATGCCAGACAGGTCTTTGTGACACCACCTAATACTAACAGGAGGACAACCTATGGGTATGGAAGCCTCTGAAGTGATTAAGAGGGAACCAATGGGCTGGAGCGAGGAGACATCACTCTCTGATGGAATGCAGTCAAAAAGGGAAGATAAAATAACCCAAACCGTTGTTTGAAGAAGAGACGGAAGTGACAGGACCATCCTAGACTGAACAGCACTGACAGAAGGCAGAAGCCCTGTCCCCATGGTTGGAGGGGCTATGGTGTAAGTACAGATGGGCACAGAAGAGGGGACAGGAATGGGACAGTCCCGGAAGACACTGCACTCCACACCACAGCCCTGTTCTGCTATCGCCTTCCTCACTGTGGGGACATCCTCAACTCTGCATGGAAGGTCACAACTAAAAGTGCAGTCAACACGCCTTCTTCCTGTCCCTCCAGACCCCTCTAGAGTGGACAGTGGATCCAAGAGGTGCCAGAGCGGCAGACCCAGGCCTGGAACAATGATGTCCAGCCATTCTGCTAGATCCAGAAAGCACTTCTCAGCTCCCCAACCATGATCAAAATGCTAATGCATGTCCTCTTAGCAAAATAATTGTGAGCAGGTGGTGAACAAAGGCCTTATTTCCACAGTGAGGGTCCGAGCCTGTTTATGCAGGACTGCTCACCCGCACCCACCTCTCAGGCCTTCGGTGCTTAGAGCTTGCAGGTGGTTGAGATTCAGCATGGAGGCACTGCTGTGCTCACACAGCTAAAGTAGCAGCGACAAGTGTGTATAGCGTAACAGTGAGACGTTTCAGGCAGGGGTAAAACGATAAAACAAAACTTATCGGGGTATCTTTTGCGGTTGCCTGATGTGGTGTCGCTTGCCTATAATACATCACTTGGAGACGAAGGCTGGGAAATCACAAACTTAAGGGAAGCCTGGCCTAAATAAGACTAATAGGGGAGGGTTCCAGGACTCAGGAATCAGCTTAGGGAGCTGCCACTGGCTACATTTGGGGTCAGCTGAGCAAAGTACATTCACGAAAGAACCTGAATGCAATGGTTTCTTCTGGGATTCCAGCACGGCTATAATCAGGACAATTTGGGGTACAACTGCAATAAGAAAGCATCCAGACTTCAAGATCTCTAGGTCTCCACGGAGTTACTCATAGCTGTAACTGTGCACGGCTTTGCAGACTCAGTGTACTTTACCTTGGGAAGAAGCAAATGGCTCTGAATAATGTCCATTATAATGCAGCTGGGGTGGGGGAGGCATCGCATAGGGCTGGGGTTTAGGCTAAGAAATGGAAAGTTGGACATAGAGTTAAAACACATTGCCCATGTCAAAAAGGTAAAGTCATTCTTTGCTGGACTCCTTCTACGGGAGTTAAATGTATTATAAATGGGATATATCTACGAAAATGAAGGAGGCCTTCACATATCTTCCATTTTCAATGCATCCCATGTCAAGCCAAGCCTTGGGCACTGACACCAAGGACACCAAACAGAGCAAGGAAGTCTGCATCCAAAAAGTTATGAACAAGAAGGAATGGATACAAATCTCCTTGTCTAAACTCATCAATAGAAAAAGCTTTTATGTGCTACAAACCCTATAAGACAAAGTCACCAAGTAAATTAAATACCTACATAGGATTTCAGGTTAGCCAGTTAAAATTCATAATATTTGGTTGTATCTAACAGTTGAACTCAAGTACAATAAATATTAGGTCCAACTTATGGAAGTTCTATTTTTTGGATAAAAATTATCAAACATCAACACACACTTGTGGTTCAAACTCAACGTACTGCCCAAAGCATATTGTAATTAAAGTGGCGTCACTCAGAGAAAAGAGGTGATCGTGTTCCTTCTCTTACCAGAGACATCCTGGAAGATGAGCCCCTCCTGACTGGGTTCAACGTGGCAGTCTGAGTTTGCCTGTGGGAGAAGATAACTGTGAGCCCAGCAAACACACACACACACACACACACACACACACACACACACACACACACGCTTCCTAGTCTACAACAATAACTCAGACTTGGGAGGGAAGCCAATGTGGTGGCTCACACGGGTAATTCCAGCATGCAAAAGGCTAAGGCGTGCTGGGGTTTGAGCAATGCTCTGAGTTTGAGGCCAGCCTGGATGCTATCTGAATTACAGGCCAGCTAGGATACAGACGGAGGGAGACGCTGTCACAAAACAACAATAACAACAAGAGATACAGACAGGTAAAATGAGAACTATCCTAAAGCAAATGACAAAGGTCAAACATGCCATAAATTACAGAAAACAGAGTTGTCAATTCCTAATGTAGGACTTCACAGCTTCCCCAGAACAAAACAAGCACACGCTTCTCTTTGTTCAAACACACACATGCACACACACACACACACACACACACACGCACGCGCACGCTAGCGTGCATGAACATATACTTAGTTCTCTTTCTTTACATTAGTTTTACTTAAGTGTGAATGGGTATGGCATGTGCATTAGATTCTTGCTAATGTTGATAACGCCCATAAGTTTGTCAAGGACATTGTCATTCACCAAGAGCTTGTATGACACACGACTGACTCTTAACACATTCTATGGCATTGGCTAGGGTTCTAAGGACCGTTACTAAAACTCTGTCATCGCAAAGTAAACAAAATTAACGTGCTCACTCAGAAAACATGCCATAAGGCCGTGTCTTTTCTTCTGAACTAGCACCCTGATATTCTTAGCACCCTGATAATGGTGTCTGTATTAAACTCTGAATGTTAGCTTATTTTCACAGGACCTTTAAAATAGAGAAAACTGTTGGACATTAGGTTCTTCTTGACAGGTGATTACTATGCACTTCTAGGCAATTTCTTTCATTGTTGTTTTTGTGTTTTGAGACAGGGTTTCTCTGTGTAACTTTGGAGCCTGTCCTGGCACTTGCTCTGTAGACCAGGCTGGCCTTGAACTCACAGAGATCTGCCTGACTAGGCAATTTCTTTAAACAACTTCCTTTCCTATGCCTGGGAAGTATCCAGGTTGCTGGGGAATAATACACATTTCTTTCCTTTTCCTTTCTTTTCTAGGCAGTAAACTTTAGAGCTTTACTGTGTAGCTATTTCTATTTTCCAAAAGACACTTAACATCTTCCCAGTATCATGTCAAGGATTCAAGCCTGCAGAGTGCACATGGGTATTTTTCTGGAGTGCCCCTTAAATATACATAAGACACTGATTTTTGATGCTTTGAAACTTACTTTGCCTCTGGGTATTCGCCATGGTCCAACCTAGGCGAGTTCAGTCTCTCGATGGCTCACCATCTAGATGAACCGGGCTTTTAAATGCATCAAATCTGGGTATGACGGCACACAACTTTAGTCCCAGCTCTTGAGAGCCAGGGGCAGGTGGATCTTTGAACTGGAGGCCAGCCTGATCTACAGAGCTATCTCCAGGAACGGCCAACGCTACAGAGAAACCATTATTTGAAACAGTCCCCGACCCCCAAAAAAGCAGCATCAATTCCAAAGTAGGGGAAGGAGCTGCTGTTGGAGTACACCTAACAACAAACACCTAGCAACATCTTCACAGCTGGGCAGCCCGGATAAGACTACATCTTCAGTGGGTGAAGTACAGAAGCCAGTGATGTGTGGCTTGGGAACAGAGGCAGCCACTCTTACCCACTGGCATCTTGCTGGCAGCATCCAGTGGGAAGGCAAAAGCAGAAGCCAGTTCTACTGAAAAATGAAACAAAGGGATAACACGTGCACCCGCCGAACAGTCTAAGCTAGGCAACCTTGATGCTGGCTAGTTCTAACTGTCTGCCTCTTTTTGTCCTCGTTGCCCTTCTGAGTGCAGCTCAAGGAGAGGCCAGCCATCATCAGCTTCCCACACAGAAGGAAATGACCGCTGGCTCTTGGGATGCTTCCTGGGCTGGTAAGTACCGCTGAGAAGTGAGGCAGCTAACGCTAGAATGTGTGCACACTGGAGAAGATAATGAAAGGCTGGCTGTCAGCTCGAGTGAAATACATGATATTGCTTTGCGAAACTGGACAGACTGCACGTGGTTATCTCTCGTGGAATCTGAACGACGCCATCAGGGAGGTCCAGTCTTACAAATGAGGAAAGTGATACTTAGATTAAGGAGATCACACTTGGTCACATGGCAAACAAGTGACAGAACCAGCATCTGAAGGAGCAGGTCTGCCAGAGGCCTGAGCGGAGTCCCCAAACCCAGTGAACTCATAAGTTCCATGGAGGAAGAGGAAAACCCACTGTTTGACCAGTACCCAGCACTGCATACAGGCAGTCCTCAACTGTGTACTGAGCATATGAATGGCACAGTGGGTGGTGACAGAAACCAATATTCAGGGAATATTTCTCAGGTGAGATGTCTCAGTGGGTAAAGCACGTGCATATAAATCTAACATCCCACTAGATTTGTGTTGAGAGCCTTCAAGAAATAGCTATAAAAACTGAAGTTATTTTCAGCTTTCTTATCCACCAAAATGTGAAAAGCTACTAGTATAAGCTTTGTTTGCTTAACTAGGAAACAAATATGTTCAATATAATAGATCTATTTTGCACAGAATGACTCTTAAACAATTACGCTAGTAGTTCCTAGATACGCAGAAACTAGAAACAAAATTTGGAAAATAATCCTCCATATTTAGTAGTTCTAAAGAGAATCAAATATTCTCCATACAAGAATAAAGTATGTAGTTAATGTGAGTAGTTCCTTACTCACATTTGGCAATATCCCAAAAATTAGATTTCTAAGACTACAACAATTTCCACACATACTCATTGCTTTTCTCGCTGAATTTTAAAGTCAGTTAAATGGTGGCCTGCCAACATATGCTCTTTTAAAAGGCATTAGCCAGAGTCCAATATAGGCTTTACTTGAGGGTATTGCATTTAGTGGTTATTCAAGATGGCTATAGCTTCTATTTTCAAGAAAAGAAATAAACTAAGGTGATGATGGCTTATAACAAATGGTCTTAAATTTATGAAAAGCTCCAAAATGGAAACAGTATGGCCATGTCCCAAATTGTTATTTGGATATAATTATTATATGCAGAAATCATGTCACAAACGCTCATCTTCAGATAGCCCGGCCAGCCACGGGGGTTTCCCAGATCCAGAATTCCTGGATCATTTTAACACTTTCATACACAAATTCCAGAGACAGAGCAGACAGCAGAAAAGGTGGCCGTGCCTCAAAGAATCAATTGATTGTGTACATGAAAGTGGTTAGAAATAGGACACCACTGTGCCAGGCAAAAGAAATCAGACACACAAAGGCAAGTATCGTGTGTTTTCTCTCATTCCATGACAGGTACGTGGGGGTGGGGAAAGCAAAAGGGGAAGCTGCAAGGGGTGGCTCAGGCCAATAACCCCACAACCTGGGATGCTGAAGCAGGAGGATTGCTGCGAGTCTGAGGCCCCCCTGGGTGACATAGTGAGTACAAAGCCAGCCAGAGCCACAAAGCAAACTCTGTCTCAAACAGCCCAATAGTATGGAGGATTGGGATGGGAGAGGAGAGAGTAGCTAGGATGAGAGTATGAGAGGGTAACTATCAACAAGGATGCTTATATGCATGTGTGAACATGTCAGAGAGAACTCCTTCCTTTGTGCAATTCATTTATACTAAAAGGTAAATCTTTCGTCAAAATGCTGACCAGGACATTATTTAAAAAGCTATAAAAAATACTATTACCGAGCCAGACGAGTTGGCTTTTTATCCCAGTACTCAGGAGGCAGAGATGAGCAGATGGATATATTGGTGAGTTCAAGACTAGCCTGGTCTACATAGCCAAGTTCCAGGCCCACCAAGTCTCCATTGTAAGATCCTGCCCAACAAAACTACAACAAAAAGAATCCTATTCTCACACTGGGGGCTATAGCTGAGTGGTAGGGAGCTCGCCTAACATGGAGTTCAATTCCCAGTGCCACAAAAGAAAGGAGAGAAAAGAAAGAAAAAAAATCCCCCCCCCCTTTTTTTAAACGTTCAAGGATTATAATGGTTCTAGTGCTACAGAAGTTGGGCATAGTAGACCATGCTCACAATCCAGGAGGCTGAGGCAGGAAAATCCCAAATTCAAAGCCAGCCTGGGCTATATAGCAAAGTCCTGTTATAAAAGGGGGCTGGGACTAGTTGAGAGAAACCTTAGAGGCATATTATAGCTATTAGAAAATGTTTTCCCAATTCTAAAGTGGAATGTAATTTCAATGAAAGCAAAAGGACTATCATGTCAGATTAAAACTTGGAAATCAGGGCCAACAAGATGGCTCGGCAGGTACAAGGGGCTTGCTGCCAAGCTCAAGGAGCTAAATTCAATCCCTAGAACCCATACAGTGGAGGGAATTGACCCTCCTCTACGTGTGCCCCCTGACACATGTACCAAACAAATACATAAATGCCATTTCCCAATTATTTCCTACAGTTCCCACAACAGGATACTCACAGGTCACACTGGTTCAGTCTGTAAAATCTGTGCCGCGCAACACACAGTCTCCACACGTACTTCGCGGTTTCCATGTCTTCCTGGCAAAGGGAACATGCACAAAGTGGCAGAGGAAACACAATGCAGAATGGCCAGAGGACAAGACGTAACCGGTGATTTATCTATCGTGTCTACATCGTTTCTCGCCCACATTCACTCTTCCCTTTCCCAGCCCTGCATTTAACTTAGGAATGCTATAAGAATTTAATAGTGAAAACAAAATAATCTGCTTCAACAGTTTCTAAATGATTTGGAATCTTAAAACACACTTGGTTTGAAAATGTCAAACCTTTATCTAATATCAGTTTTTATTCCTGAGAAATGACACTAAGGCTTTTCCAACTGAACATCTGCTTTTCTGTCTTGATGTCGCCTTTATTAAGATAGCAAAAGCAAGCACCACGGGCAGCATTACACAGATGCTCACAGCAATGGTGGCCAGGCTTGCCTTCTCCTCTACTTCAACTCTTTACACTTAATTCAAAAGTCACTTGGATCAAAGACTAGGAACACAGAGTCTCATTTACTCAACAATATTTAATGAGCAACTACTTTTTTGCCAAGCGTCATTTTGTAAAATGTAAGACATAAAATTCTACATCACAGAGAATTATGAGGGTCTAAGTTAGAGCCACACTCCCTGCCCCAATACACAAAAGGGAGCTCGGAAATGCTAACTTGCTAACTTGTATGAAAAGCACCCCATGAAGATTCCTTGTGCTCACTCACAGTTTGAAACTGGATGGTCTCCTCTTTATTTGCCAGCTCTAATGCAAAGAAGGACTTGTTGTGGGACATGTTAGCAATGTCGTGCCACCTAAAGAACAGCAGAGAATGGTGAGTGCGCATAAGTACACTGGGAGATGGAACAGATTTCCCCCTAAGCTGGGTACATGAGATAACACCAGTTAATCCTTTTCCAAACAAATAGTTTTATCAGCTAGCACGCATTTTCTAACTGAAATGACAACAGCTCGTTGCTAAAAAATAAAGGCATGTGCACTAAATGAAAAATGAGGATTTGGGAGACACAACAAGGCTCAGATGGTGGTTTAAATGAGAAGTTTCTCCATAGGCTCATGCATTTGAGCACTTGCTCCCCTTCTTGGTGGTGCTATTGGGGGAGCCTTGCAGGAAGGGGTGGGCTTTGAAAGCGTATAGCCTTGTTCCACTTGTGTGTGAGCTCTGTGACCTCAGCCTGCCCTCTCCACCTTCCACCAAACCTCCCTCCATGCCTACCCTGTCATTATGGACTCTAACCCTCTGGAGCTGTAAAGCCAAAATAAACACCCTGTAGTTGATTTTGGCCATAGTATTTTATCCCAGCGACTGAAAAGTAACTGACACACCTACTTTGCTTGATTGGCTTAATAATCAAAGACTCCTATGTCAGCTTGCAGCTCAGGCCTCAACTATGTATTGAACAAACATTTTTTTCCCTTAAACAAACATTTTAAAGGGCAACTACTATCACAATGATAATAATTGTTCCAGGTCCTAGGGATACTACAATCAAAATAGCGACAGTCCCTAAAGGGACTTGGGAGAGTGGGAGAGCAACAGAAAACACAAAATCAAACATCCTGGGATGCAGTAAAGATACACAGGACTGATGGGAGATGTCATTCTGTAAATATGTTTCTCTTATTGGTTAATGAATAAAGCCCTATTGGCAAACAGGAAGGCAAGATAGGCGGGACTAGGAGACAAGGAGGATTCTGGGAGATGTAGTAGAGACAGTCAAGATGTAGGGACTTGAAAGAAGAGGTCTGGCCCCTCTCTCTGTTAAGACCACATGGAAACAGATTAATAGAAATGGGTTAATATTTAAGACAGAGCCAGCCAATAAGAAACACTAGTAACAGGCCAACAGCTTTATATCTAATACAGCATCTCTGTGTGTTATTGGGAGCTGACGCAGCTCTGGGACCAGGCTGGCGGGAAAACTGCTTGTGAAACAGGACAAAGCAAGGGGGTGAGCGAGCACTCTGACAAGCCCCTAGGGGAAGAGAATGCTAAGTGCTCAGGAACTAAGAAATTAATTGTTCTGAATGTATCCAGTAGGACATGAAATCTACCCTACATCTCCTAACTTTATCATCTTCGGCTTTTACAGATTTTACAGACTTGGTTTTTGTTGCCTGGCTGTGTACGTCATCAGAAGGAAACTGACTGGAAGAAGACCACCGTTGATCACAAGTGTGGCTAACTCCGCAAGTTTAGAAATGTTTGCAATAGAGCAGTGGCTGAGCCCCTAACCTGGAAATCCAATGCTCCTGACCACGAAGCAAGAGTGAACTCTTCCCCCTTCCGCCAGTGCGGGGATGCAAACCCAGGGCCTGGAAACATGAGGCAAGCGTTTTACCACGCACTCTATCCTTGCCACCACCCCCCATCTTTAATTGGGGATTTTTGGACTCTGGATATTCAGCTTGTATTATATTTACTTAAAATTTGTTAAGTCAAAGTTCACTTACTGACTTAGTGCTCAGAAGTTAAACCTAAAGATTATTTGCATAGTATTAAATGAGGAGAATTTGAAAATCCCTGTGCAGTGAAGAAAGCAACCAACTGAATGCCTTTAGTTTCCGTTTGGCCTCTGGGTGCTGTCAGTCCTGCTGTCTGAGTGGAAGCCCTGATCCATTTTCCTCTCCCTGTGCCCCCAGCTCAGCATGTTGGGAAAATTCACTATACCAGGTCGGGGACAAGAGCGCACTTGACTCAGGAGGCAGCCACACACAGGCTGTGAGGCACGGGCCTGGGGCTCTGCTTCCCAAGCCATGTCTGCTCTCTGTGGTCACTGTCACTCAGGCCCCAAAGAAGAGAAGGAAGCGATGTCATCTTAGTGAAAATGTTCTTAAAGGGGAAGACCACTTCTCAAGAATGAAGTAGAAAATAGAAGGAAGAAAAGGAACTATTTCAAAGGAAGGAGGGAAAAGGAGAGAGGAAGGGAGGGAAGGAGGGAAGGAGGGAGGGTGAGCGAGTAAGCGAGCAAGCAAGCAAGCAAGCAAGGTGATACAGTGCCTAGGAGCCCTGACTTACGTAGACAACCTGAGTCCTAGTCTAGCTATACCTGGCTATACCTGGCTATACCTTGAACAATCACTTGGCTTTTCTAAGCCTCCGTCATCTCATGTGAAAACTGGGGTGATATCTGCTACCCTGATTTATTATGAAGATGAAGATTACACGAGCAGTCCGCACAGCATCTGGTTTCTGATTAATTGCACCCAGTGAAAGGGAGACACAAAGGAATCAGCAGGTAACAGTGGTAGACACCCCCCCCCCCTACTGCATGAAAACAACAGGAACCGTCTTCTTTGTTTAAACTGATCATTCAAATAGAGTAAAAGTGCAAATATTTTCACCAAATCCTAACAGACTTTCCAAGACTACAGATTTTAAGGAATTACATGTAAAGGTGAACAACATAACCTCATTTACTACATTTAAGATACAAACGGAAGAGATCATGTTGGTACTGACCAGGAAACTTCCTCTCTGCTGGCTAGCTTTCCCAGTGCCTGAAGGTGCTATGCAGGGTACCAAGGCGGAGACCTCATCAGCAGTCTTACCCAGCTATGAATGCTGCAGCTACAATGACCAGCATGGCAAGATATGCCTACAGGTGTAGTAGTGTCACAAATGGTACATGCTAACCAACTGTTTCTGGATGAAGTGAAGGCTAGATCCACAAGGGGCAAAGAGGAGAAAACCACAGGCTTTGTACTATAAATCAGGCAAGAAGCCGTGGTTGGGGAGCTTATTGGCCCCAGGAGAGATCCTACCATTTTGCTAAATGGTCCTAGGATCAAATTGCCCTCCGAATTGGTATGTCCATGCCCACTGATTAGTGCCACCCTCTGACCTCCTCAGGGAAGTTTCTTTGTTGGTGCTGTGGATGGTAGGTAGTTAACAGAGAAACTTAAGCTGGTCACAGTGCAGAAAACAAGTGTGTGTGGAGTGCTCAACCACAAATGGCACACCTACATCACATACCACCCACCAAAGCTCGGGACCATCACAGCGGAGGAAGACAGATGCTGAAAGCCAAAGGTCAGGAAGGAATGCAGTGAAGCGGTGTCTTCTAGACATGAGAGGGCTGCTGTCACTTGTGAGTTCATAGTAGCTGTGGTTGCCTGCACAAGATCAAACCCATCCCCATCCTTAGCTGAGGAGCTACTAACAGTTGATGGCTTCTTGGGGAGGGAAAGTCAGTTTTCTCTAAGAGTATGGCGTCTTGTGGGTTGACGATGCTCCAATGTATGGCCCCATACCCATGCGCATATGGACTCCACAGGTTTCAGATATGTTATTATATGGACACCAAGTTGGGGAGTATATTCGAGAAGAGTTAGGGGGAGAAATAGGGCAGGGGGTGAATATGATCAAAAAGATTATACGGAGATATGAAAATCTCAAAGAATTAATAAAATATTAATGTCCAAAAAGATATCACTGGAACCCAGGATACTACGAAGTAATCTTAAGCCATCTGTAATTCACTTCTCAGAAACTGCATGCCACTATCAGCACATCCTTACCCATCACTGTGCTTTCCTACCACATACGCCCCAAGATTTGTACAAACGAACAGCACTGCTTTTCATAACTGGAGGGAAGTCAGCTTTGCAAAAATTGAGGTTTGCTGAGATGTTGGCATGTTAGTAATTTTGTTACACATTAAAGTCAAAAGAAAGCCTAGATTTCCATAGTGAATAGGAAGTTCCCGAAACCAGAATACAAATTTAAAAAAATCAAAATAACGAATGGCTTTTCTGTCACAACAGGGTCACACTTTTCAGCATCCATCATGAGTACTTTTGTTCACAGTTGGTTTTGAAGACAGTAGCGTACTAGTGAACCACTGTACTTGGGTAGCATTTAACTCTAGAGAAAAGAGTACCTCCATTTTCTAATGAGAACTTAGGGGAGACCTGGCAGCAATAACTACTGTAGTAAGTATTTACAACAAACAGACAGAATACCTGAATACTACAGGAGGCCTTCCATTCTTATGTTTCACAAAGATGCCATCAAGACAAGCACCGATGGATATGTCACTTCCTTGGCTGTCCTACAGGGAGAGAAAGAGGAAGAAACCCTTGGGGAACAGTACATGAGGACAAATGCATCCACTTCACCGAGCTTGTCTCCCAGAGAGAAGACTTGCAGGGCAACCACTCAGAAAGACAGAATGGTGCAAACTCATCACCTTGCTAGTGAGCAAACAGGGGAGTCTGTTCTCGTCTTTAAAAATACTTTCACTATGATGTTTACTTATTTACTTTGTATGTGGGTGCACACATGCCAATACACATGTAGAGGTCAGAGGACAACCTGTGGGAGTTGGTTTTCTCCTTCTACCGTGGCAATCCCAGGATCGACCTCAGGTCATCAGTCTTGGTGGCAAGTGCCTTAACCCCGAGCCAAGTTTAGACTCTTCTTAAGTCTATTTCCTGACCCAACCAAAGCACAGATTACAACGCAAGGTTACAAGGTTGTGTTTTACTAAAAAAAAAAATTGTGGTCAAGAAAGACCTCAGCCATGCTATTTTCTCAAATAGCTAAGTGTCTTATTTATCTGTCCCCCTTCACTCCCCTGCCTCATCTCTTTTCAACAGGACCTCACTCCATTTCCTATTCTATTTTCAAATGATTTCCTTATCTCAGCCACCACTCAGAGCCATGCCCACCTCGCTAAACTGAACTTTAGGTAGTCATACTTACCTTGGCAGGATAGCTCTCCTCTCCATAGCCATCCATTCTCTCTACTTCCTGCATGTAGAGCATTTCAGCTTCAGGAGCTGTTAGCCCTCTGCAACCCAAAAGATGTTAGTGAGATTGCTCCCAAATGTACACTTTTTAAATAACGCTTTCCTTAAGAGCTGTATATCAGTTTGGAATAGGACGTTATAAACACTCCAGGCTATAATTAATTGTACTTGGTTATACTGATCCTCTACTATTTACCAAAAACTGACTACCTATGACACACTATGCTTAATGCGGAGGGCATGTATGTATAACCTAATGCTTTAGGCAAGCATGAGGACAAGCAAGACATGAAGCAGCTCCCAAGATATCTTCGAGGCAAATGCAGGGGTTTCACCTAAACTAGCAAGCAGTTGCTTAATTGCCCTAAAATATCAGGAAATAAATACTAAGAATGTTGGTTCGAAAACCAAATGATGGGGCTGGAGAGATGAATCTGTGGTTAAGAGCACTGACTGTTCTTCCAGAAAACCCGGGTTAGATTCCCAGCACCCACATGGCATCTCACAATCATCTGTAACTCCAGCTCCAGATCTGATGCCTTCTTCATGTGATACACACACACATACATTGAGGAAACACTCATACAAATAAATAAAACTGATAAATCTAGAGAACGTTTTTTAAAGACTAAATGATAAATATAAGAGATAAGGGCAGGAGAGGCTAGATGCAAACCCTTAGTTCAGAAGACTGGACCAGCACTGGAAGGGTCAGAGAAAGGAAGGGCGCTTAAATGCATGGCCTCACCTCTCCAGCATCATCTGGTGCCTTCCCCCCATCCCATGGGCCCAAGGTACACCAAACCCAGAGAGTCATCCCAGACTCTCTGCATCTCTTTGAACCTTTGTGAATGTAGATGCCTTGTATCATATCCTTATCATCCACATATGGGCCTAGTAATCACTAGTGTTCTCAGGGCTCGGTGTCTGTACCATTCCTCCTGTCAGATTCTGGGTACCCCTAACGCCCGTCCCTGCCCCTGCAATTCTAACACACTCTATCTACACCTCATCTACTGCATCCACTCTTCTGTTACTATTGTGCTGCCTAGCCTAAGATTGCTGGGAATGAATTCTTGGAAAGGAGAGGATAGGTTCTTAAGTTCTATTGCTTAAATAAAAGTACAAATGAATGAAATGAAGTGCAAAAGCAGGATCAACTGCACTAGGAAAAAAATGGTTTATGTAGAAATAGAGGTAGAAGTATGATTAGCAACTTATGGAGAGCAAGAACATGACCTTGAGCATTTGGGAAGGAATGCAGGAAGAGATGAGAGGGTGATACTTTTGGAAGCTTACTCTTTAGCAACCAGCAGGGTCAGAAAGAGCAGAAAGAGACTACAGGCAAAGACTAAAGGCTATACGGACATATCTACTTTCAGCCACTTCTACATACACCAGAGACCTGAGTCATTGTGAGATCAGTTTCCATCCCCTCTAAGATAGAGGCAATGATCTCTTTAAAGAATACTAGAGCTATGGGAATGTGGTTATATATAAAGTATCCAGAATGCTGTGTATTGGATTAGAATAAGAGTGAACATCTTAGATTTTTTTTTTAAAGTCAACAGGGATTCACCACCAAAGAAAGTCAACATGGACCAGCACAGACAAGTACGGGCAAGGACAGTCAGGGCAGCAGGCATGAGGGCTCTCCTCACTGCTTCCCAGAGGACAGAGATGCTGCTTCAGAAAGCCCGCAGGGGAGCAGTGTCATGTGATGCGTGTCTGTAAGCCCAGCACTCAGGAGGCGGGGCAGCAAGATGACAAGTTTGAGGCTAACCTGGTTCTCAAAAATCTCAAGGGCACAGGATGTAGCTCAGGGGTGAAGTGTCTGCCTACCATGTACTAGGCCCTGAGTTCAAATTCTAGCACTATTAAAAAGGGTGTCGGTGGCACACACCTTTAATCCCAGCACTCAGGAGGCAGAGGCAGGTGGATCTCTGTGAGTTCGAGGCTAGCTTGTTCTACAGAGCGAGTTCTAGGACAGGCTCCTAGAACAACAACAAAAACAACAACAACAACAAAAAGAAAAAAAAAACGAAGGAAGGAAGAGAGGAAGAAAGGAAAGGAGGGAGGAAGGAAGGAAGGAAGAGGACAGAGAGAAAGAGAAAGAGAGAGGATAGATAGATATATAGATGATAGGTAGACAGACAGACAGACAAAAGAAAGAGCACCTGGAGGGCCGAACTGTAAAAAAACAAACTGCTGTAAACATGAATCCATTTACACAGGGTTAGTTAATGATAGGTAGATAGACAGACAGACAGACAAAAGAAAGAGCACCTGGAGGGCAGAACTGTAAAAAAACAAACTGTAAACATGAATTCATTTACACAGGGTTAGTTACCATCACACTTGCTATATGGGGCAATGACTAGCTGTTTCAATCCCCTCCATCTCCTCATTGGTAAGATGGACAATGGTTGCAATGATGGGGCTGTATGTATTTAGAGCAGCAATTGGCACATACAAATGTCACTACAACAGCAAACAAGCTGCACGAAAATTTAGCACACAAGTGGTGTTACCTGTATCTCTGATGTAGTAAGGACACTTTTTGGGTGGCTTCTTCCAGCACGCTTTCATCCTGGAGCCACCCCTGAAGGAAACACACAGCAGTAAGCGTATGCATTTTCTAAGAATGGACCACTCTTCCACTTGAGGCAAGCTTCTGACCGGTACTAACATTTGGGATCTTTGCTTTTATATATAGCCATCATGTATCTAATGAATGAAATGGCTTCTGCTCAGGAGTCAAAAGATCTGCCTGCCCTGCCTCCTCGGCTCCTCCCAGGGAAAGTTTCAGCTGAGTTTTAAGGTTGGTAACACTCATCAGCCAGTTCTGAGCTCAGTGCTAGCCCACCCACTCAGGAGAACATTCCACCCTCTTCGGCTGTCTCAGTGAGATGTTCACATTTGGTTTTTCAACAGTGAATTCAGAAAGTCAAAGGCAGGGTTCCCCACATTAACTTTGCAATTCTCCAGAACTAAAAACCAAAAAAAAAAAAAAAAAAAAAAAAAAAACAACAATCCCTCTCCTTAGACACAGACCAAAGTAAAGAATGTCTTTAGGCACAGGATGGCAACCAACACCCCATCCTCCTTTTTTTTGGGGGGGGGTCTTTCAAAACGGGGTTTTGCTATGTAGCACTGGCCCTTGGCTGTCCTGGAACTCACTGTGTAAACAAGGCTGGCCTCAAACTCACAGAAATCTATGCCTGCCTCTGTCTCTCTAGTGCTAGAATTAAAGGCGTACACCACTACTGCTAGGCCTAACCAGCACTGTTCAGTTCCTGTGAATTCACAAAAACCAAGAAGACTAAAACAGAGAAATACTGACACACAAGACGTTGATGAAAGGGAACTGACTTTGTAATGCTAGTCCTGTTTAGAGCATCTACCACGTGGACATTCAGGGCTTGCTAAGAGTGTAGGAATAAGCCATGTATTTAAAAAAAAAAAAAAAGGCCGCATGCCAAAAGAAGTCTTACCACTGGGAGCACGGCAAATTTCTGAAGGAAGTCTTGGGATTCATACTGATCAAAGTCACCAAAATCAGCTACACAAAATGATAAACATCCACATGTTAATTGCTTTTAACTTTCACAACACATTCGCACAACAAAAATCAGTAAGTAATATGGCTGACAAGCTTATGATTCGGAAGCCAAATCTGTCTGACGGGTAACAGAGTAGGTTTTCAAGAGTATCTTTTAAAAGCCATTAGGTGGATTCAAGCGTGTTGGGAGAGGACCAAGTGGGGTAGGGGATGGAACACCGAGAATGCTTGTATGCAGATGTGCAGGCAGCATGTAAGGAATGGAGTACCACCATGTCAGACGTTTGTTTATCTCAGGATGACAGGCATCTGTGCCTGCTAGTATCCGGAAGAATTATATCGGTTTTCCTTTCTTTTGTGTTTTGTTTTGTTTTGAGACAGGGTCCCACTGTGTAATTTTGACTGGCCAGGAACTCTCTATGTAGAACAGGTTAGTCTGGAACTCATAAAGATCTGCTTCCTCGCTGGGATTAAAGGTATGTGCCACCCTGGCCAGCTTACTTTTTCTGTTGATTAAATTCCCGTTTCCATGTTAATTGCCTGGTACCACTTGAAATAATGCATAAGCAAAAATTTCCCTCGAGCATTAATTAAAAGACATTTGTGAAACACAAAACTTCTATTACAAGTGGTGATGCTCTATAATCTGGAATAGTAATTTGAGAAATCAAAGAAATGAGATGTACTTGAAATATAAATGAATGTAACTTCATGAGCCTCATTGATGGAAAGCTCTTTCCTTCCAAAATACTAGGATCAAGTCAAGTCTTGAGTGACATTAACACTTAGCATGTTAAATTATTTCATTTTGCTATACAAACATATACATAAATGTTTGCTCCTTTGACATGTTACATAATTAGAATGTCCACAAGTCTCATATTTCATTGAAGAAATGGTCTTCCTACAATAAAGCCCCCAGCTAACAGCATAATATTCCACCAACACATAAATACTATAACAATTCATATAGAGAATAAGTTACTTTCAGAACACTTTACTGTTTTTCTTTTAACATATGTCTTAATCTGGTAGAATTATCAGTCTACATGCATTGCTTACCTTGAACAGCTAAGCCAGCTAGCTGAATGGCTTGTTCTAACGTACAGGGAAGGTTTCCTTCCAAAATATCTTTCTTCAGCTGCAGGTAATACTGATACCTATTTGAAAGGATGAGTTTATGAAATCAGTTATCACCAAAATCTAACCAAGGTGCAGTGCACTTTACCATACTTTAGTAGAGGAACATGAACTGTCAAATCTGTAACCCTATGTTTCAAAATATGAAAAGAATGCCAGAGACAAGGGGGGCACATCATCTAACCTGTAATGATGTGTTACTTATCCCTTGCTTTAATCATTTCAGAGATGTAAACATTGGCTTAGAATGTGTGAGGCTGCCTTGATCTCCAGCAAGCCCCACATCCCTCAGGAAAAAAAAATAAATAAATAAGGTTCAAGTCATCTATAGGACAACTCACCATCTGTCTTACACCCTATATAAAGTCTTTTTTTTTATTATAGTTCTTTATGGTATCTATATCATTCTTCATGTTCTTTATAGGAAGGAAAGTACACACTCAAGGACCAATGTTTTAAACCTCACTTGTAACTTGGTAATGTAAGACTTTAGGTATTTAGTTAAATAAAAACTTCACTAGCCCTGGAAAGGAAAACTTAAGGAAAATGATTCTTGCTATTTCAGACCAGGCTATCATTAAGTTTTAAAAAGTGTAATCCTAAAAAGAGTAGCTTCTAAAGTCTTTCTTAATAACCCATGACACAGGGTTACTTCAGTCTGTCCCTTAGTGTCAAGTGCACCCAGGTTTAAATTCCAGCTCTCCAGTGTAGGATTGGGCATGGCTTTGAGAACGTCACCATTTGCAGATTCACATGCTATTAACAATGAAATAAAGATATGACCATCCCTTCACCGGGCCAAACGTATCCAAGTGGCATGTATAGAGAGAGCTGTTGGCAGCACTGGACATATGCTCGCACGGGAGCAGCATCCGTGATGACCAGTGCTTTCATGGACATATGCTCGCACGGGAGCAGCATCCGTGATGACCAGTGCTTTCATGGACATATGCTCGCACGGGAGCAGCATCCGTGATGACCAGTGCTTTCAGTTAGTTACCATGTTTCATCCCACCACTTTCCCAGAGTAACTCACATTCACTCAACAGGTCAGTGCTGGGGCCTGTCACTGCTCTACGACACCACTCCAGGCACTGGAGATAGTGCTAGATTTGGTCCAGTGGCTCGGCCAGTGCAGTGTATGATGCCATCTCAACCTGAGTCTCCCTAGGTTTGGTGCCTTTGAGCAGTCCAAGCGCCACCATATCTGAATTCTCCGGAATTCATATACATTCTTGTGTTACCCTTTTAGCTAGGCTTTAAGTCTCTGCTCTTTGTTCCCAAATGGCCTGACCAACACAGCATCCATTCAAATAAAAAGAAATCAGATCCAGCCTTTCCCTTCTAGCACCTGGCAGATACCATAGTTTCCTGCAATCAGCAATAGAATGTTGGTAACTCAGCGTGTTGGGGGGTGGGGAGGGGGCAACCTGTGACTTTCTGTAAGGCTTTCAAATGCCAAAAGAGATTGTATTCAGGGAGGTACATCTAACAGGCATACTCCACATACGCCATTATCACATCCTAGACTCTTTCCTTCTAACAAATAAAAACCCTAGAATGTAACATTCATGGACCAAATTAACTTGGGCTTCCAATACCTTAGCTTTGAATGGGTTTATTATGAGAGCTGATTCTTCTATATATGCTGTAATTTGTTCAATGCTAGTCAATATTCTTTATATTAAAATCTTTATATTGAAAATCTCCTTGTAAATGACATATTGGGAAAGTGCCACATTTACAAACAAGTATGCTCCAGAGTGGTAAGGTGAGATAAGCCTTTCTGTTCAAATTTTTACAGGCTGTAACACTATTGCTACAAGTAACCAAAAAAAAAAAAAAAAAAGGATTCATACAGTAACCAGTGAGGTTACACACTATCAGTTCGTGAATTTTAAACACCTAATCTGCCCAATCATTAGTCTTCATTATTCTCAAAAGTTCCTATCTTTTGCAAACAAAAATCCCTGTAAGCACCGGTCATGGGGGGGCGGGGTGACAGCTTTCTGCTGCCTTATGGCTCCGTTATCTGACAAGTCCTCATGTTCTGAAGATATGAAGACATGATTCAGATTTTTGTTCTCTGCCTTTTTTCTTAAAGTAGTTTTGAATTTGGGGGGGGGGGAGGGTGGCGGGGAAATGATTCCTTGGTGCAGGGGGACTAAACCCCCTGCGTCACATCTGTTAGGCAAATGTTTTACCACACAACCACATTGCTAGCCTTGAGTGGGTTTTTATAAGATCTTTTTTGAGGTATAACTGGCACGTAATAAACGGCTTCAATGTATAGTTCTAACATCTAAAAGATACACAAAGTCACTGCTATAGGACAAAGAGCCTGAGTACCAATTTTCTGCAAGAGTTTCTTTACATGACACATAATCCTCCTACACCTTCCCCCCTTCCTAGAAACTGCCATTCTGCCTCCTGACTCTGACAGCTAGAACCTATCCAGACATCTTGGACTCCAAAGGAACTTACTGAGTGGGACAAAGATGTTGAAAGCACCAGTGTCCTTGGGGACTTTGTACTGTAGAGCTGTCACTCCAGTCTGCATGGCTGATCTGGGGGCCACATTTTGGAACTGAAGACTTCTCACGGACACTCATGACCATCCTTAATTCTTAATGATGAAACTTCTCTAGGTCTTCTACACCTAATCAAGGAACAATCCTGCTCTCCGAACCTAATAACCCCGTACTTTTTCATCCCATTTTATGGGTCATGTCATTGTGAAGTAAGTAAGGTGTGTATTCTAATCAAGCAACAACTTCCTAACTGGTGTTCTGCCACTTCCAATTCAGGATTTTATCATCTCTAATTTATCATCCAATGTGAATGCTCTTTGTAAGACACAAATTTGGCCATTCCACTCCATTAAAATTTGAAGAAGCCTTCCTCTATTATACCATGTCTTTACAATTAGTATACACCTGGCTTTTAAACCTTTTCACTCATCTCCAGGTATTATCTGAAATTCCTATTCTCCCTGCTTTCCACGGGCCACGCCCCCTAACTAGAATATTCCTTCTATAGCCTCCCAAGAAGTCAACAGTCTCCTCCCTTAGTCAAGTTCTCCACGCTCCACCCCTAGGAATTCAGAGCTTTGAATCAAATGTTCTCACAGGATACTGTGACTACTGATGTACATGAACTGCCAGCTCAACAGACTGTGAGGGAGCCACTCCTCCAGGGTCAGATTCAAATGACTACCTAACCGCTCTCAGAGCACAGAAGATCTTCAGTAAATGTTTAATGAGTTAAGTGGCCGGTTCATATTTTTCTTTCTGGCTTCCACTTCTCAATATTTGTATTTCAGAGCTTCACAGAGTCAGATGAACATGACTGGAGTATGAGAAGGGTACAGGAGACAAAGATAAACGGTACATGATGTTTAGGGATGCTGACATTGCCCAGCCTGGCTCCAAAGTAATGTTATTAAGTAGGGTTTAAAAGATAAAGCAGTGTTAAGTTTCGGGCATCTTATCAAGCTCAAGCATCCAAAGTGTGTATTTCTTTCCCCTCCTCCCTCTTCTCCTCTTTTTTTTTGGGGGGGGGGGCGGGCGGAAGGGGTTAAAGACAGGGTTTCTCTGTGTAACCCTGACTGTCCTGGAACTCAATTGCTATGTAGACCAGGCTGGCTTCCAACTCAGAGATGTGCCTGCCTCTGCCTCTCCAAGTCCTGGGGTTAAAGGTGTGCGCCACCACCGCCCAGCTGTATTTCTTTTTTATTTCTTAGATGCCAGGCAGGTACAGAGCTCCAACCAAAGCTGAAAATTTAAAACTTTTCTCACTATGTTGCTTTGTCTTCAGGAAATATTTTTAAAAAGAATTCATAATATAGAAGTTCTAAACCAGGCCTAGGTGTCCATCAAGAGAGGAATGGATAAAGAAAATGGTGAATACAGACACAAGGGATTTTTTTTTTTTTTTAAGCATAAGGAAGAATGAAGTAATGGTATTTGAAGGAAAATGGGTATAACTGGAATTAATCATATTAAAAGAATTAAGTCAATCTCCGGAAGACAAATACTTCGTGGGTTTTTGTTTGTTTTGTTTTGTTTTTTCTCATTTCTCAACAAGGTCATTTATGTAGGAGAACATGAAACTGTGTAGGGGGAAAGAAGGGAACTGATGGGATGGGAAGGGACACAAAAGGGGACAGTAGAGGGGACGGAAGGGGCATGCTGAGTCAATATCCATATGCTCGAAAAGGGGCCTGTGTGACCCAGGAGGAGGAAACAAAGCAAGACGTCCAGTTCCTCCACTGTCCTTCCCGTCCACGTTTGTCCCTGTAAGTATTTACCTGCCAGTATCCTCTGAACCTAAATGTCTCTCTCCCCTTTCTGTAGCCCCTCTGTCCCCATGTCAGCTCCGCCACATCTACAGAATGCAGCCCTGGGGTCAGAATTGTAAGATCCTGCCAGTTTCTTGAGGACAGGACACGGGGTTTCTGACTCCACATCTTAAATCTCTCCTTTCCCGTTTCCTTATTACAAGGAACCAGAAACGGAACACCAGAAACATCGAAGAGGCTATCACGGGAGAGTTCACCACTAGGGGTGAACCGGTCCTCTTCCTGTGCCTTTGGGCCCAGCGAACCATAATTCAGTCTGACACACCGCATTCCAGAACCTCCTAGTAATGTGGTGACTAAAAATGCAGGCTAGAGGGCAAAGTCAGTCACAGGCTTTTACCCTGAAGGCCTTTGACCTCACCTTCACTCTTCTGACATCACTTTTCTAAACACAGGCGGCATCAAGGAACTAACTTCTCACCTGGTGATTTCCTGCTGCAGCTGGGAAACGGAAGGCACGTAAAACACCACCCCGAAGTAGACGGTGGGCTCCAAAGCATGCTTATCCAGCTGCTTCTTCAGGGGTTTCTCCAAATCCACCCAGCGACGCTGATTCTGCTTGTTGTAGTACCAGAGGCTGAAGTAAGTGACCTGGAAGGAAGGAAGGTCCCTTGAAGCAGGCAGTCATGCACAAAAAGATTCTGACGATTTCCGCCACCAAAGACCCAGGATCAAGTGGCAGTGGCCTCCTACTGCCTCTCAGTAAGGGGCCAAAGCCAAAGCGTAAAGGAAAAATAATAAATAATAATAAAGAGGGAATTCCAAGCTCCATCTAGAAAATAGTAGTCAGGAAATAGAGGCAGGGGGAAAAAAAGAAGTCAATTGTAAGTCATTTCTTGAACTAACAACGAAAATGCTGAAGAAAAAAACTAGTTTTTAACATTAGCAAAACACTAAAGTTACCATTATTAAAATAACTCACATGTGTATGCATGCTCGTGTATGTGTACCAGTGTGGAATTCACAGGATGAGTTTTAGGAGTTCCTTTTCTGTACAATGGGTTCTTAGGAATAAAACTCAGGTCCTTGGGCCTGCATGACAAGGAACTTTATCCTCTGGGCCATCTCAGCAGCCCTATAACTAACATTACTTTGAAAACCTTAAGTAGTCCCCTATCCAGCATAATTCTAAACCAAGGTGCTAACCCAACTTTGCACTATTCTGGGATTTGGCTTCTATAAACAAAACTACATCATGTAAATGTCAGAAATTTTAATAACAGATGCAACCAGAACTCTACCTTACCCCTCAAAGTGCATCAGCTAAAAATTCAAAGTGACTTAGATGTTTCAAATTAATAGTTTAATGTAAAGGATAAACTTTAAACTAAATAACAGAATGTGGATGGAGTCTCTCTTTCTCTCTCTCTCATATGTGTTCCTACCATTCTGTCTCAAACACAGATCCCACATTAACATAAAAAAAAAATCACACGTAGTACAATTACTTGACCTAACTGGATTACTAACTCAGAGCCAGTTGTGGAGGGAGGTACATGCCTGTGATCCTAGTACCTTTAAGGCTAAGGCAACAGACTGCTACAGCTTCAAGGCCAGGGCTACCTACATACCAAGACTGTCTCAACACCCCCACCCCCACACACATCCCAACACACACAGAATAAATTAGCATTCAGATTATGCTTGTTGTATAATAAAACTATTAGGGTAAGTCGATAGCAGCCCTGGCCTGGTCAACCTGAACGGGTTTGAAAGCACTTAACAGAGGAAATGGACGCACTAATCACTGCTAACATTTATCTCAAAATCAATTCATGGATCAAGGCCATTGGAAAATCACTGCTATTCCAGACTCTAGAGCAAATAGAAGCTTGTACAATGATGAACATGTTCTATATCTGAACTGTCCAAAAGAGCAGCCCCCAGCCACAGGTGGCAACCGAGTACATGAAATGTGGCTAGTGCCACTAATTTTAATGCTCTCAAATGAAACAGCTGCTATAATTATACCGGGTAGTTTAACTTCACAGCATCAGTAAAACTTAAAAATAAAATAACTCGGGCTATTTTATTTGACCTGCAATAAAAATGAATTAAGATAAAAATGAACTTTAAATCAGGCATGGTGTTTAATGCCTATAATCCCAGTATTTAGGAGGCGGGGGGGGGGGGGGGCAAGGAGGACTACAGTGAGTTCAAGACCTGTCTGTCTTGGCTGCACTGTGAGGTTAAGGCCACCCACCTCAAAAATTGAAATAAATAGGTAAGTAAATGCATTAAAGCTGGGCATAGCAGCTCAGGGCTGGAAGATAGAGGCAGAAGGATTGTGCCCGGGCTATAAAGTAAGACCAAGTCTCAGAAACAGGTGTGTGTGTGTGTGTGTGTGTGTGTGTGTGTCTGTGTGAGAAACAGGGTTGTGTGTGTGTCTCTGTGTATCTGCATGTCTGTGTCTGTGTAAATGTGTGTGTCTTTCCAAGACAGAGTTTCTCTGTGTAGTCCTGGCTGTCCTGGACTTGCTTTGTAGACCAGGCTGGCCTTGAACTCACAAAGATCCGCCTGCCTCTGCCTCCCAAGTGTTGGGATTAAAAGTGTGCATTTTAATGGGCTAGAAAGATGGCTCAGCATTTAAGAGGTTGCAGAGGAACCAGGTCACTCACAACCATCTAAATTCCAGTTCCAGGAGATTCCATGCCCTCTTCTGACCTCTGAGGGCAGCAGGCAGATACATGTTACACATACAGGCAAAATACTACTATGCGTAAAATAAACCTAAACATTTAAGAAATTTTAATTACCATGGACATTCTTACCATTTTTTACAAAGAAAAATTACCTTAATATTAGTCTATCACTCTTTATAAGCAGAATATTCCTACTGTCCTTTTATTTCTACAAACTAGAATACTGTAGGAATTAAGTAATTTTGGTTGGGTGAATTGTCTCTTATTCCTGTCACCCAAGACATCACATACGAATGGAACAGTTTGATCATCAAATATCCAGCTGTATGCCAAGAATCATGGAGATACTGTACAAACCCCAAAGCCAGTGTCTCTCTCTCTACTCACTGTCCACAGGTCACCCTTACCAGAATTACATAGTTTCTGGGGCCCTAAGAAGTTATTATGTTCCTAGGTCATTCTTATGCCATTAAAAATTGAAAAGCATTCCAGCAGAGCACACTGTCCTCCAACATTTTGTAGGCAGTCCTGTAGGCAGGACCTATATTTAGCTACACAGGTGAAGTCTATAAGCCTAGCACTCCTGAAATGGAGGTAAACAAATCACAAATTTGTGTCTGCGCTAAAAAGTGAGTTCCAGGCCAGCCTGAGCTACATAAGGAGAGCTCCCACCTCCACTCTTCACACACACACACACACACACACACACACACACACACACGCTTGAAAAGCTGTGGGAATCCCCCTTTTTTTGTTTAACTCCATGAAGTGAAAAATCCAGACCCATTGTTGTTTTCTGTCACTGGCAGATCACATTTATGAAAAAACAACTACTGTTCCTACCTTCTGCAATTTCCAGAACAGGAAAACACCTGGCTTAATAGAAAAGGCTTGATGATTCTAGTAGGGTAAATGCTAGCTGTGAACTGGAAGAAATCAGTTCAACCTGTTTTCTTGAGCATAAAATAACTCTGAGCACCAGCATGGGGGATGGATGGAAAACTACATGAATGCATGCTGCCATGAGAAGATCATTATATTTTACTTTAATTTTTTAATTTTAATTAAATATTCTTAATTTTCCATGTAATATACTTTGGTCATACTCCCTATTTTTGAGGGATGATTTAGTTTTGCTCACTCTGCCAAATACCAGCAAAAATTAATTACTGGTTTCTTCCTCCAAAAATCTTTTCTACTTAGAATGTCAAGATTTTGGATGCGCCAGACGGTGGTGGCACACACCTCTGATCCCAGCACTTGGGAGGCAGAGGCAGGGGGATCCCCAGGTTCAAGATCTGCCTGTTCTACACAGTGAGTTCCAGAACAGCCAGGGCTACACAGAGAAACCCTGTCTTGAGAAAATTAGTAATAATAATTTAGATCCGCTACAGTACGTTTGTAAAGCACGCATGTTGATTCTGTCTTCCATCACAGGATCCACAGTTTGGAAGGAATGTTTACCATGCTTGGTCTGCTATGTACTTTTAGGCACTTATTATACATCTACATTTACTTTTGTTTGAGGGGAAAGGTCTTACTATGGAACTCGAGATAACCTCAAATGTACCAAGTTGGCCTCGAACTTGCAATCCTCCCATCTCTACTTTTTAAGTCAAACATTTTTTTTTTAACTATATAACAATATTAAGCCCAGAGTAGCCCTGCCGTAGGGCTGAAATCAGTTTTGTTCATGAAAGTATATCCTCTCTTGGGGCTGGAGAGATGACACTGGTTAAGGGCACTGGCTGCTCTTCCAGATAACCCAGGTTTCATACCCAGCACCCACATGAGGCTCACAACCATCTGTAACTCCAGTTCCAGGGGGTGTCTGGCGCCCTCTTCCGGTCTCTGCAGGCACTGCATGATCATGGTACACAGACATAAATGTAGACAAAGCATCCATATACACAAAATAAATAAAATTAATTAATTAAAAAAAATGAGTATATCATCTCTTAGCCAAGCACAGTGGCACACGCCTTTAGTCCTAGTAAGTAGGAGGCAAAGGCAGGTGGATCTCTTGAGTTCAAGGCCAGCCTGGTGTACATAGTAAGTTCCCAACCAGGGCTATAGAGTGAGACCCTGGCTCAAAAGACCCCCTAGCCCCCAAAAGCATACCATCATCACTTATAACTAAAATGAAAGGATCTTTAACTTTGTGTATATTACTTTTTCCTTTAAAGTGCAGCTGGATTTGGCTACTTAAAACACAAAAATTTAAACAGCCAGACATAGTGGCCATAGACCTACAATTCCAGCCCTTAGAAGCAGTAGGACGTGGGTTCAAGACCAGCTTGGACTATACAGTGAGCTTCAGGTTAAATTGGGCTACAGTGAGACCCTGTCTCAAAATAACAAAAACGACAACAAAAAGAGAAGTAGAGAAAGTTATAAGTATTTCCAGAGATCAGCAATGATATTTTTAAAATGGAATATTATGTTATCCAGAGTGTTAGAAGAATGACTTCCTATCAAGCTTTATAATACTCAAATTAACTGTAGTTTCTTCACCTGTAACTACAAGCAGCAGATTTTTCCAAAGCCACATACGAAGACTTTTCCACTCTTGTTCTGTTGGCACCTACCCTCCTTTATGGGTCTTTACAAAGTGCAGTCTGTCAGTAACATGGACGCCAACTATCTCCTCTGTGGAGCTCTGCCTTGGGGCGGTTTCCACTCCTGAATTTCCACTCCAGGACCCATGTCAACCGCTCTTGAACAAGGGACTTTCTCAGCAAGTTCCGGTCCCTTCGCAGGAGCATTCTGCCTTCCTCGGAAGGGCGTGGAGAACCACAAGAACTCTGAGACCTGCAACTGCCCTTAATCTCTAGCTTTCCATTAATGCACCTCATTTCTTGTGCCTACCTTCCAGAACTTTCTTGTTAAGAGCCTTCACTTGATAAGAAAGTTTTCCAGGTGTCTCTTTCTGTCTGCTTTTGTGGAAAA